AACACTGTTAGATGACCTAGTGTGATAAGATTTCTGCAATTCCAGTTTTTCATTGTTTTTTTTAATATTCTCAAACTTTTGCTTGAAATTTAAATCAAAGATTTTCTGTAAATCAACATCAAAAATAAATATCATGTAATCTAAAATACTTGTGCTTTTTCCCTATTCTAAATCTTCCTCTGCATTCAATATATGGTCACTATATCCATATAACTTGTGTTCTATTATATTTGATATGAAGCCCCTATATATTTGCAAAGTTTTTAAAATGTTTTCACTACCGTCCAATATAAGAGACGTGTCATCAGCTAACATGGCTATCTAATATTCTTTATATAAGACCTCAATTCTACGATAATTTCTATAGCCTTTCAAAGTCACTATGATTTTATTTCTTTAGGTCGGTGTGAATGGAATTTTGGGATTAGGCCAGCCTTATAACAGCTTTTCAGTCCTAGATTTAAATGACCCAGATACTATTAACCTCAGAATCCTTTGTCCATATTGGGTGGACTTAATATCAATGGGAACGAATTCTGCTGTGTATTACAACGTATACAAAAGGTGTGTATTCAAATAATCAAGAAGTTGCATTAGGAATGATTTATTTTCAAAACTTGTAAAAATGAATTATAGGCGCATGTTGTCTTTTTCCAAACCTCTGTCCTTGTATTAAACTTTACACCATGTTCCATAAACTATGAATATGAATAACATTTTTAAAAAAATAATTGAATGGACCTATGCAAGATGTGCAAGATGCTATATAATCACCATATCGAATGGAGTAAATCATTTACATAATAAGTATGCTTAATTTCTTTACAGTTAACATTTTCAGTAGTATTTTAACACTGGTACCTTGAAAGAAATTTGAATACGTACACGTGACATTGTATTCTCTTTTTACTGTCAAGAAGACAGGTTCATTATTTAAATCAGATTAAAGTTACATTTTTCATTTTCTTAAATTCAGAAAAAAAACTTTTCTCTGTTTTTCAAAATGCACAAATACATGTATTGTAACAGTTACCTATCTTATGAATAGCAAAACAAATATAAAGAATCATAAAATTAAAGAAGAGCAAACTACATGTAACTATATTCTGCTTTCAGTTTAGGTGAGCTAGAAACCATGCAATTGTACTCCTTAGGGATTCCAAAGTACAGGGTTTAACCTCAAGCAATGGGACCACAAGATATTCAGAGGATATTTTCCTATGTCTAGAGTTCTATGACCTTTGATCATGTGACCCTTTATATCAATACGGGTTTAACTTTGTTTCTACTCCTGAACAAGGACTTACTCACCAAGTTTGATGCCTGTCAAGCAAAGGATTCTCAACATATATACTAAGCGAACTATACCTTCCCATGTCCAAATAGTTTGATCTTTATCCCTTGATGCTTTGCCTTCAAAACAATATGGGTCATACCGTCCTTTAGGAATACCAGTTAACTAAGTTTGATGTCTTTCAAGCAAAAGATTCAAAAGAGTCGACAATATTTGTGAACAATCGACCGACCGACAGTTGAAACCAATATGCGCCTTTTTTTCAAATTGAAGCAGAGAGAAACAAACAAACAAACCACCTGAAAAAAAGTAGATAAAAAATACAAGAAAAGATTTACTTTGGTTTGAATTTTTTTTTCAAAAGTGACGTCTTTTTAATAATACAAGTAATCTACGGTGAACCGCATGCGCAAACATTTTTAATATGTATAAATGTATATCCATTATTCATTAGTAAAACAGAATGCCCTCATCCGTCCCACAAATTGATAATTGTAACAAAAATATCGAAGAAAAGTTGAGAAAAAAGGAGAAAACAAAAGTAAAACAAGATGTGTTTGTGAAACGCTGATGCCCCCGTATGGCAACTTATAGCAAAGGCTAACCTTTCTCAAATGCAAATCAAATATGTTGATACCCAAGTTAGGTCTTGTCTCGTGGAATATACCTGTGAAATATGAAAGCCCTAGGAGCAACCATTGAATAGATATGGAATAGGTTGAAGTTTCTCAAAAGTAAATCAAACATCAAGATCAAGGCCAAATGGTCAAAATTCATGGTGCCCAAGGAAAGGCCTTTTCACAAGAAATATACATGTGAAAAATGAAATCCATAGCACCAATCGTTCAAAAGTTATGGCCAAGGTTAAAGTTTTTCAAAAGTAGGTCAAACACCATGGTCAAGGTCAACGGATTACATTTGTTGGTATCCAAAGGAATGCCTTGTCAAAAGGAATTTATATGTTAAATAGGAAAGCCCTAGCACCAACCGTTCTAAATTTATGGCCAAGGTTAAAGTTTTACAAAAGTAGGTCAAACTCCAAGGTCAAGATCAAAGGGTCAGAGCTGTTGGTATCCGAAGGAAGGTCTTGTCAAAAGGATTAAACATGTGAAGTTTGAAAGCCATAGCATCCCTGTTCAAAAGTTATGGCCAAGTTTAAAGTTTTCCAAAAGTAGGTCAACTTCAAGGTCAAAGGGTCAAAGTTGCTGGTATTCAAAGGAAGGTCTTGTCACATGGAATATATATGTGAAGTATTAAAGCCCTAGCTCCAACTGTTCAAAAAATAGGTCCAAGGTTAAAGTTTTTCAAAAATTGGTCAAAATTCAAGGTCAAGGTCAAAGGGTCAATGTTGTTGGTATCCAAAGGAAGGTCTTGTCAAAAGGATTAAATATGTGAAGTTCAAAAGCCCTAGCACCAACCGTTCAAAACTTATGGCCAAAGTTAAAGTTTTTCAAAAGTAGGTCAAACTCCTAGGTCAAGATCAAAGGGTCAGAGTTGTTGATATCCAACGGTAGACCTTGTCATGAGGATTACACATGTGTACAATGAAAGCCCTAGCATCAACTGTCTAAAAGTTATGGCCAAGGTTAATGTTGGGTAAAATTTTCCAAAACTGAGTCAAACTCCAAGGTCAAGGTCAAAATATCAAATATGATGGTACCCAAAGAAAGGTCTTGTCACAAGGAATACGCATGTGAAGTATTAAAGCCATAGCTCCAACCAATCAAAAGTTATGGGCAATGTTAAAGTTTTTGCGGACAAACAGACAAACAGATAAACAGACAAACAGCTAGACAGACAGACAGACGGACGGACAGGGCAAAAACTATATACCCCAGAATCTTCGATATGGTGGCATAAAAATTTATTTCAAAAACATTGAGTAATTTTTCAAATTTTCTGCTTTATTATCGTTTTAAAACTCACAAGATGTGTTTGTGAAACACTGATGCCCCCGTATGGCATCTTATAGCAAAGGTTAATCTTCCTCAAATGCAAATCAAATATGTTGGTACCCAAAGTAAGTTCTTATCCCGAGGAATATACCTGTGAAATATGAAAGACCTAGCAGTAACTATTGAAAAAATATGGAAAAGGTAAAAGTTTTTCAAAAGTAAGTCAAACATCAAGGTCAAATGGTCAAAATTAATGGTGCACAAGGAAAGGCCAAGAAATACACAGGTGAAATATGAAAGCAGAGGCACCAATCGTTCAAAATTTATGACCAAGGTGAAAGTTTTCCAAAAGTAAGTCAAACTCTAAGGTCAAGGTCAAAGGGTCAGAGTTGTTGGTATCCAAAAAAGGTCTTGTCACAAGGATTACATATGTGAAGTATGAAAGCTCTAGCACCAACCGTTCAAAAGTTATAGTCAAGGTTAAAGTTTTTCAAAAGTAGGTCAAACTCCTAGGTCAAGGTCAAAGGGTCAAAGTTGTTGGTATCCAAAGGAAGGTCTTGTCACAAGAATTACACATGTGAAGTATGAAAGCCCTTGCAACAATTGTTCAAAAGTTCTGGCCAAGGTTAAAGTTTGGTAAAATTTTGCAAAACTGGGTCAAACTCCAAGGTCAAAAGGTCAAATATGGTAGTACCCAAAGAAAGGTTTTGTCACAAGGAATACACGTGTGAAATATGAAAGCCATAGCTCTAACCAATCAAACGTTATGGGCAATGTTAAAGTTTTTGCTGACAAACAGACAGCTAGACAGACAGACAGAGCAAAAACAGGGCAAAAACTATTTACCCCCGAATCTTCGATACGGGGACATAAAAAATTTAAGAAAGGAAACTGGGAACGAAAACAAACACACACAACCAATAACAACAACGACAAACCAAACAAAGTTCAAAATATGGACAGGCAACAACCAATGGGCAAACGTGTTTACCGGTAGTTTCTTTAGTTAGATCCTTTGGAAAATTTTTCGAAAATATATTTGAACTTTAACAAAATAAAGCTCTTTTATAGAATGAAAGCGTATTGTTCATCTAAATTAGTTTTATGTACATGTATAAGTTACTACTGAGTTCTTCATAAAACTAGACTCAGAATGTTTGACCCGTGTCATGGCGTACAAGTTTTCTAAGACACACATCTAGGGTTTCCGTTTGACTTGGAACACGTGTTATTTAGAAGCATACGTTGATTAGAATCTCATTTTTAGGCAATTTAGTGGTAACGGGAAAAAAAAGAAGAGAGTCGATATATCAGATTGAATTAAAAACAAGTTTGATGGTAAATCTTGGTAACGATTTGAATATAATTTAAAAACAATTTTATGCTGTTTTTTCTTCATAGGAATGAATACTTCATTAATGGTATTTCTGTCTATTGTTTAATTTTCATTGTAGGGAAAATCAAAACGACGCAGCTGTATTGAATCGAGTCGACAAGATAATCCAAACATTTTTTAGTGATTTTCAAAATTTCAAATCTTCCGTCGTTTTCAAAGTTACATGGTACAACCTGGCCTTTTTCATGGACACAACAAAGGTATGATTTAATTAAAACTGCTCCAAACTTTACTTAGCAATCGCATCATCTCGGGTCTTTCGTTGTTTTACCGCATGTCGGAAAGGCCCGAGAAGTTTCGATTGTTTACTTAGATGGCTATAATGACGTGTAACAACCTTTTTCAGAAAGCTTGTCTGAATTATGCAATCATTATCTAAGTTACGAAGGTTTCCCCCAGTGCAGAGTTTGTGTCGTATTTAATGAATAGGAAAGGATTACTTTTAATATACATGTATAACTTGTCCCGAAAGATCATTGAGATGAATATGTTTATTTTCTGCGTGTGTCTGTGGTTAACCTTTATCTGTGGTTAGCCTATATCTGTGCTTACATGTACCAAAACAACAGGACTATATTTAGAGCGAAATAATTGATTGAATCTCCCATTCCATTAAAGACCAAAACATGGACTTTTTCAGTAGTGTAGAGATGTATAAAAAAGATTCCGTAGTCCTGTCAGTGTAGGAAATTGAATAAAATGTCGAAAAATAAAGACACATCAACACTTTGCATCAGTCTTATGATGATTTATTCCCTTGTATATTTTGCATTCGTTTAACAGATATTTGAATGATTTATTATTAACTTTCAGAGAGTAACTTTTCAATCGCTCATTGTTTCTGATGGTCGTGACACCTTTAATGTGATAAACCATATAGATGTTAATGTTCCCCCGACATTTGGTACTCGTGTTTCAATGGGCTACAGATACGGACGATTTGTAGAAAGAAATACGTATTCTAATCAACCAGCCTGCTTTCGAATGACAGAAATTCCTGGTAATACAGGTAAGTCTAGTAGCTGTTATTCCTTCCGAGACAATTTGCTTTGAGAACATCTCAAATATTTTCACGTTTTAGGGATTCGTGGATTCTGGGTTACAAAAATGACAACAGGTATCGTGGCAAATCCACTGGAGATCGAATGCTATAACTGGTATGTTGTACAATCCCAAAAGGGAATCCCGTCTCCATGGTGGTTGACGTGTCCTTGTAGTGGTTCTGCTATGAGATTCCTTAGTTCTCAATTTGCCCTTTATCGAATTGATGCAGTTAACAACGTTGGTTGTTATGTATCAATTACCTTTGGATCATCTTTGGTAAGTTTGCGATCAATTCGAAATGCCATTTTCAGAGGCCATTATTCAATGGAATTGATAAAACCAATTCTTTTTCAACGCTTTAAAGATTAAGCGAGACACAAAATATCTTGAGAATTTAGATAAAGCATGTTCAGGATTTTTTTTAACACAGAAATTATTTTTGTTATCAGTATTTCTAGTAACTGTGTGCACTGTCTTTAAATGAAATAATATTTAGTATCCATCGACAAAAGGTTTTTGCAAAATATGCCACGATAAATTAAACATTTTTTTTTTTATTTTTTACATACATAAAATATACAGTTCAACCTGTTCAAATAAATTTTACATTTCTTTGAAGATATCTCATTATTTATTTTCTTTAATAGGTTACACATTGTGATTACTATTGTTTTATATATTTTTTCAACTAAGGAGTGTTGCTATCAGCTGATTTTTGGTTTACTGGGACCTCTGAGCGGACGAATTCCTGAGGCCGGATCAGTGCTGTCAGAAAATCCATTCTTTCAGCCAAGAGAGTATTATCTTAATAACTGGAGAGCAAAAGTGGTATGCTGTGCATCAGGACATTGCGATTGGTATTACAACTTACGACCAAGACCCTCCGTCTGCCTCAGGCGGATACCTGTTCGAACAGGTGTGTTATTGTTAGAGGAACTCGTAAGTGCTAAAACTTGTTCCCGATCCTTTTGATCTTTTTGATTTTTTTTTAAATTTTGATTTATCAATTAAATATGTTAAAATATTGTCGGTATTTCATGAAGAATAAAATATTTTGGACATTTTAGCACAGCAATATCAAACACACATCAGTTTGTTTTGCCCGTGTGTTGAAAATTACAATGGACATACATGTAATATCATATTTGAAATATTTTCATTTAATTACCAGTAAGACCGTGGAACATAAACTTACAAGATTTCAAATATGCAGCAAACGTCATTTCCGTCTGTAGGCGTAAAAAAAAATGATGATAGACAATGACATGGGCGGGTACGATTCGGGTCGGGCGTCTGAGAAAAAGAATGAAATTCTAGCTTGAAATTCAATCCACTTCAGCAAGGCTCGTAAACTTACTGTTACTGATTGTTTCAGAAAAAAATCAGTTTCGGAGTAGTTTGAAATTTATATAAATCAGAATTTTTTTCCAGTGGTTTTAAAGAAATAAAAAGAGGACGACCATATGATTCCTGTTTGGGAGGAGGGGGCTGAAAGATCTTGGAAATATAGATTTAAAAAAGTGTGTGTGAGTTTGGACATCCCCTCCCCAATTTTGCTTGTCAAACATTTTATAAATACACATGTAATATCTCTTGTCATCCTACGAATAAATCAATATAATTCTGTTAGTTATGTGAAGGCCTGAAAATAAATAAACTGTCTTGACAAAGTTTGCTCCCCTTCTAGAATCAAATGACTGCCCCCTGAAAGAATATAATTATCTATATCTTCTATATCTATAACTTTTACGTGTCCTTAAAATATTGGATAAAAACTTCTGATACACATTAATTTCAAACTACATGTACATGTAGTTAGGAGTTAAAACTACTTGTCTTTTGATTCATGCGTTGACACTTAGCGTAGAAAACAGCTCAGATGGATTGAAAATGAATTTCGAACTAGAATTTCGATTCATTGCTTTTTTTTTCGACGTACCCATTTTATAGTCCGTCATCAAATGTCTTGACTGTAGTACATGAAAATGACATAAGCTGCATATTTCCAATCTTGCCATTAATGTTCCGTGGTATTAATGCACATGGACATGTTCAAATTATGCTTGTATGCAGTAAGAGTTAAATATTCATGAACAGTATTACGTTCTTTACTTCTTGGAAAGAAAAGTATTATCTTAATTATATATATATATCGTATATAATGACTAATCATTAACTTTGACTTACTATAAACTTGAATTTGTTCTTTATGTTTGAATGCTGATTCCAGCGTGGTTCTTTGGAGATCCTCATATAAACACACTGGATGGTGGAGCGTACACTTTCAATGGATATGGTGAATATACAATGATGAAAATAGACCATAACGGTACCAAGTTTGAACTCCAGGCTCGTACAGATTTAACAACGAATGCAAATGGCACAAAGATAAACGCCACAATATTTAGTGCCTTTGTTGCAAAAGACCAAACGGGATCTGTTGTACAGGTGGAAATGTCAAAGAGCAGAACACGTGAGACTAAATTCAGTATTGAAAACTTACACAAATAATTACTATCTATTTTTAAGATTCATATCAATATTTTTTACATTGTCCTATACTTAAGAGATTGAGAACTCAATTCAGTGATGGTTTCGGATTTTCTTTTCTTCCTCAATCTTCCTTGTAAGCATTTCTGGCTGTTGAATCGGTATTTTTCTTCTGTAAACGACAAGATGCTTGAAAATGCCTGAATATGTATTGTTAATAATATATTGTTAAAGAAGAATAAATACTTAGTTCACAAATTGAATCTGATATTATAAGCATTCTGCACGCCTTGATCACCCATCTCCTTTGCATGTATTGTTAATGACGACCGAAGGGTTTATTGCAGATTCCCTATTAATCAAACAAACAACAGATATTATTTTGCTTGTTTAATGTGGCGCTTCTGGCCGCGGTGATCAATTTGCTGGGGCTACCACAGGGCTGCCCCACAATCAACAATCAATACAACAAATGTGACGACCCAAATCGGGCGGATCATGCACTGGGTAGGTCACAAGTGCATGAACGTCACCAATTCAATTATAAATCAAGTTCAATCAATAAATCAATAATCAATCAAGTTCAATCAATCAATCATCATTCAATCAATCAATTCAATATCAATCAAGTCAACTGCTTGTCAATTACAAGCCAATGCACAAATTCAAATCCTGAATTTCAATTTACATGTGCAATAGGATAAACAATGGAATGAGCGTAAGAATATGTGTTGCACTCCTCCAGTTGCGTTGAGGTGCGACGGAATACGCAAACACACAGAATTACCACCGCGACATCGGTTGAAGTGGACGCTGTATCAAGCAGGCAGTCATCACGGATTACGTAAACACACAGAATTCACCACCTTGACATAGGCTGATGTGGACGCTGGACCAATCAGGCTGTATTTACGGAATGAGCAAACACACAAAATTCACCATCGGCACATAGGCTGATGTAGGTGCTGGACCAAGCAAGCCGTCCTTACGTACATATAATATCCGAACACACATAATCCACCACCGCGACATAGGCTGTTGTGGAAGCTGGGCGAAGCAGGCAGTCTTCAGCTACAATGACATAACAAAAAGCAGCAGTATTTGTTCTAAAAACAAGAGGAGGGTGGGTGGGTAAAATTTAAAACATTGCCACAATTTAACTCCCAAAAATTTTCCATGACCTTACCGTTTAATCGATTCTTCTAGAAAGGAGGTAGAAAAGAACTTATTATTAGACTATATACAAATGGACCTAAATTATCCGGAATAATAGCTTGTGACTAAGGGTGAAAATTTATATTTATCCGAATGTACGTAACTTATCCGGAATAGATAAATATTACTAGGGTTACTGAAATAAACTCACTTATCCGAGACCAGGCTCGTATAAGTGGTATTATTGCAGATTCCCTATTAATCAAACAAACAACAGATATTATTTTGCTTGTTTAATGTGGCGCTTCTGGCCGCGGTGATCAATTTGCTGGGGCTACCACAGGGCTGCCCCACAATCAACAATCAATACAACAAATGTGACGACCCAAATCGGGCGGATCATGCACTGGGTAGGTCACAAGTGCATGAACGTCACCAATTCAATTATAAATCAAGTTCAATCAATAAATCAATAATCAATCAAGTTCAATCAATCAATCATCATTCAATCAATCAATTCAATATCAATCAAGTCAACTGCTTGTCAATTACAAGCCAATGCACAAATTCAAATCCTGAATTTCAATTTACATGTGCAATAGGATAAACAATGGAATGAGCGTAAGAATATGTGTTGCACTCCTCCAGTTGCGTTGAGGTGCGACGGAATACGCCACTTGCAAGGGCCATGAATACTCGTGTCTACCACGAGTAAGAATGGAACTGCAACCGCCACCAATGGGGGTGCCAAGAACCATGGTGACGGCGGCAGTACCTCAACGCAAATGGTCACCGTCGACCAGGGCCTGCTCATTCACCAATACAACTTATAAAACAAGTGACTTATTAGTCAATTACGTTTCAATGCATTAAAGCAATATATGAATTTAAATCGTCAACGGTCATTCACCTATTCCGTTATATGTGTTGAAATGCAATTATGGACTTGTGAGAATAAAATAACTCCCCGTTTAATCTAAAATTGTGGATCCATACCTGCACTCTATTCCCTGTCCCGTTGGTTTATTTTATCGTACTACTTACCTACTAGGTTGTTACTCCTGTTACGCATTTTTATGGCTTTTATAAAAATTTAAACTATCTTTGCAAGTATTGGTTATAGTTGTACTAAAAAGTGTGGAGTGTATCAGACCCAAATTGAACAAAAACGAGATATTTACGTCATCTCTCAACTTAGAATACTTTTAAAAACAATATTTGTGTACTTAACCCCCCCCCCCCTTCTCATTTCCCTAGCTGCATAAATCATATTTCCTCTTCACAATTTATCAAACAACTATAATCCATAGTAAAATTAAAAAAAATAAATAAATAAATCATTGAAATGAAAGAAAGTAAAAATATGTGAGCCTTGTAACAACTACTTAATGGATGCCTAAACATGTACATTTTATAGCCAGGGTTTCAAAGCTAAAATAACCCCCCTGCATGTTGGTGGCAAATGTGCTTTAGCGGTTGCTCCCCAATTGTAGTGAATGAGATTTAAATTTTGTATTCTACAAATAATAAAACATATGGGCATGATATGCGGTATCCAATACTGACTAAACCTGCTCGAAGTTTCCCTGAAAAAAGGATAAACACCTTTTATGACTGGTCATGGAAGTACTTGCAACTACATTCGAATCGTTAAACTGTTTTAATTAAAAATAACTGCCAAGGCTTATTAATTTAATCATCACCTATTAAGTGTTTTAAAGTACGACTAATTTTAGTTTTATATAACCTCATGCCACAAGGGTAGTTTAACCTATTTCAAACAAAAGGAAGAATACTTTATATCGCTATTACTTAACGTAATGAAACTCTTTTGCGTTGAAGGTAGGAAACGTTGATTAATAGCTGAGGACAATGTGCTATAGCTATTGACTACACTATGAGATAGATCACTGCAGATTTTTAAGGGACATATAATATAAGAAAGAAGCCCTGGTGAAATACCTAGCTAAATGTTCGTTGCACCACGCTATGAAATTAAAATGCTAGCTCTCTTGTGTTAATTTTTTGTGGATATTTCCCGCTAAGTAGACTATTCTAATAATAAGTTTAATCATTTTCTTTCTGATCAACGTTATTTTGGAAGTCTAAATATTCCGAATACTTTGACTTGCTTTCTGAAGTGCAACCATCGGCATTACATTGTACCTTCGGCATACTTATTGTTCGTATCATTCAATTGTCACTAGCGTAAACAATATATGTAAACAACATGTTATGCCCCGAAAATGAATGGAGATTTATAAGTTTCTTGACTTTATTGCAAAACAGCCGCAGTAAGTTATACAATTCGAGGTAATTGCGATACTAAGTGTTCTGAGTATTCAAAAAATATCTGTAAGGGAGTAGTTTTATCTCTGGGAAATTTAGGTATAATCGTGGACCATTGTGTATTACACCAATTATACATGTATTTGGTAAAAATTAAACAGAATGATAAAATTAGTCTCAAGGCTTAAATCCCCATTAGACACTGACATAGGTGTGCAATAAAATAGATAAACACAATAAAATATCCAAGAAAACAAGTTCTTGAGTACGTTGCAACTCTTTGTCCATGGGTATGTGCGGTGGAAAAAAAACTGGTATACTTTATAAGGCATACTTCTGGACATATCTTCGATATCCCTTACCAGATTAGCTTAAAATTGAATGTCAGTGTACCTTAAATAAATGGATCAATATTGTTTTGACCACACATTATTAACTCCTTGGTTTTGACTTTTCTTATGTACTAGTAAATTCAATATTGCAATTTCATATCAACCTATTAACTCTTTAAATAATAATAATAATTGATTCATATATAATTTAACTGATTATTTGACAAGCTTTGTTTCCCCGTCTCGTCGAACACATTAGCAGACTATCCATTCAAAGATAGCCTGATAAGCAACATACGGAGCAAGTACTGGGTGCTGCTTATCCTAGTGAGACTCCTGACCAATCACTTTTATTAATCTGCCTATCACAGTGCTCTAATAGCTTAACTAAATATCAGAACAAGTCCATCCGACGGAGACGAGGAACCAATTTGATTTTGACCATCTTTTTTAAAAAAAATTACATTGTACCAGTTTATTTGAAATATGCCCCCCCCCCCCCCACTTCACACAAAGACTCGCTTAACCAAATTATACTTTTCCCTAGAATGTAATCTAATAGCTGCGATTAATTGAAGCTGGATTAGGATCTATATCATTTGCCAATTCTACTTTTATATCTAGTATTAACACAACTGCAACATTTCCTACTTGTTTTTTTTTTTTGCAAATCTTTAATTACTATTTTAATGAATTACTGGGGAAGTGATAAGGTCATGCTTTGATGGAAAGGAATGTTGTGCCCATTGCAGCTGTTGACTCACTGATAAAGCTGTCTTAAAAAAATAAAATTAAAAATGTTGACCTGTTTTTGGTAATGTACCTGAAAATAAATAATCATGGTAACATACATCTGTAATCACTATCAATTACTTAAGGTTTTTTATGTACTTACTGCCTTTTGTACCAATATAATTTGCTCCTTGCTTGTGCCTGAACCCTGCAAATTTGCCTACCTATTCTAATGCATATGAAAAATACTTTTCCACAGCTTTGCTGCAGTTTGACTGCTCACTGTGAGACAAATGCTTGCAAAATTAATAAGAAATGTTTTCATCCTATTTCAATAAACTGTGATTTTGCTTTCATTAGTTGGATTTTTATGCAGAAATTGACCATGTGGACCAAATGAGCGCCCATATGTTGTGTAACATAATATACAAGTTAACTCCCATCCCATTATGTAATAGGAAAATCAGTTCATACAATATCATCCATAAAACCTTACATCTTTTTGTTTTCTTAAAAAAAAAAAAAATAGGAAAAGATAACAAACAGTACTGTTCCAAACCTTTTCAAAAGACCAACAAACAAATGAAATGATACAAGTCTGCAAATAGAGCATAACACTTACACAATTTAATAAACCTCCTCTCAGTACACACAGTACTTTGATTACTTGAAAAGTGAAAGTGCACAAATTCTCGTGAATGCTTTCTCCGATTTAACGACGATTACATTTTGTAAAATGCGAATCAATATACCTCCTTCGAGTACGATAAATCTATGTAGAAAACAAACTAAAATCCTTCTAGTAAGCCCAGCTTCTGAGAATATTCCGTGTTTTATGAAATTACCCCCCCCCCCCCCGTTATAGCTATGATGGACTCGAAGTTTAACATTTCGCTCCTAAAAATAATAACTCAAGTTAAACAATCATTTGACCCCCAAATTGATCTTAATATATTCCTGTTACATGTAAAGTCTCACAAATTACAACATCGCGTAAAATCAATTCAATTTACGAAAAAGTCCAATCAGGCCAAATCCAAAGTCAAACTTCGCCATCGATACGTCTAATTTGCTTTGAAACTACAAACCTCAATAGTTATACTAAAAATCAAACTTATTTGATTTAAAAAATTTAAAACATTGCCACAATTTAACTCCCAAAAATTTTCCATGACCTTACCGTTTAATCGATTCTTCTAGAAAGGAGGTAGAAAAGAACTTATTATTAGACTATATACAAATGGACCTAAATTATCCGGAATGATAGCTTGTGACTAAGGGTGAAAATTTATATTTATCCGAATGTACGTAACTTATCCGGAATAGATAAATATTACTAGGGTTACTGAAATAAACTCACTTATCCGAGACCAGGCTCGTATAAGTGGTAGTATAATTAGACTCTGACTTACCAATCTTTTTTTTTTTTAAGTAACTTTGCAGTGAAATGTAAATATAGCGATCTGACTTTCATCTCAAAAACTGGATTGCTATGTATTAGATCCTGATTTATTGTTCTAGAGCAGAAAATTATATTTTTATATATGTCCATTTGCCTGATGTCAAGGTGATGACGGGGGTATTTCAGGGAAAGAAATGACAATCTAATAAAACAGAAATTAGTGTTTTTCTTTTTACATGTACTAACTCTTCACTCATATAATAAAATCAGGCATGTATGTTCGTGGAAATGGACGAGATTTGACAACGGACTTTGAGAATAACCCCGACTACATTTTGAGAACCTTAAATCTGTCTTTATCAAAAGACAATGGAACTTATGTTGCATCATTTGTTCAAAGTGGTAAGTGATAGAATTTTTATAATGTTGTTCTAGAGAATTCAGAAAAGCATGTGCGTCAATGAACTATCGATTTAGAATTTTCTAACATATTATGGGCAAGTAATTATTTACCGTTTACATGTACATGTCGTTGTATAAAAAAAAACAATTTATGCGCGATCCCTTGTGCCGAAAAAATCAATAGAGATATAACGAGAGTACTAGTATTTGACCTAGAAAAATCAAAGAATGAAAAAAGGCCTAATGATTTTTGTTTGGGAAAAAAGGTTCCAAATAGTTCAGTTTATCATAAAAATAGTACAGGTATGTTTAACATGTTAATAATGAAAATCATTATTTGGAATTTTGAATGGGATGAAATTCAGGTCAGATGATCAGTACCCCTTCAAACAACTTTTGGCCTATAAAAAAAGCTAACTCAAATAATCTTTGCTATTTTTCAGTTCACATCCATAGGCTGTCGTGTTAGCAAAAGAAATACTAGTCACATTTTGAATATCTATAGAACTTCTGAGTCAATTTTATGTATAATTGCTAAAAAGGCACATTTTTGTGTTGTGCATTTAATTTTGTTTCACTAGAGAGTTGATCTGTATGTTTTGATAAAGAATGCCCCCGCCATACCAATTCTGGCTTAATAAGAAATGGAGAAATAATAAATAAATAAAAATGATGTTCTTAAATTTTATGAAAGAGCGACTGAGCCAGATGTGATAAAACTATGTCACTCTTGATTTGAACTTTTCTGTAACTAATTATATAGATCTATAAGTTTAAATGAAGATTTTAAAAACTTAATTTTAAAAAGAGCCAATCTCTGTAATGACTTTAATTTTTATATAAGAGATGTGGCACGTATGGTCTCAGACTTTCTCTAAACTGTCTATGTTGAAAGTCTTTGATATTGTAATCTCAAATTAGGCAATAATTGGTTGCTATGTGTCATGGTTACCATGGCAACATGCCAAAAAGTTTGAAAAATGGCATTTCTCAACATTTTCAGAGTCCCATAGTTTCAGTGTAATGTTTTCAGCAGTACAAACAACTGGCAATGACTGTTTCCGAAAGTTGAATGCCTGACGTATTAAATGCATAATAAGCATATTTGCGGAATCAACTATTATACACGTTACCATGGAAATAAAGTATTCAAAAGTAATAATTTCATTTATTCATTTTTATAAAGTCATACACTCAAAATTAACAAGCATTCTGAGAGTATTGCATTAGCAATACTAGTCCCCTACCGGCAAGTGTAATCTGGTTCCCGTTAAGAATTGAAAATGTCATAATTCCGTCAAAAATCAATGAAGCGGAACGAAATGCAAACTTGATCTATAAGTAATGAAGGTAAAGTCGCATACCAAAATCAGCTCAATATCTGAAAGCGTTTAGAAGAAAATTGCGGAAAACCCTTAAAAATTGAAAAGGCCATAATTCCGTCAAAAATCAATGAAGCGGAACGAAATGCAAACTTGATCTGTAACTCATCAAGATACACTTACATACCAAAAATCAGCTCAATATCTGCAAGTGTTTAGGAAAAAAGTGCGGAAAACCAAGTGGGACAGACTGACAGAGGGACCGACAGACGGACGGACGGACAGACTCAGAGGAAACCTATAGTCCCCTCCGGTTTCACCGGTAGGGGACTAAAAACAATATTAGGTTGAAATACAATCAATAAATAGATAAAGATCCTTGTAACACATACCAAGGAAAAAATGTGATATTTCTTATTGGTTGGCAATGGTTGTCATGCTATTAATACCGCAAAAAGATTCAAAATTTACTCTCAGTATCTTTAAATCTTATCTTTTTAAAAACCAAATTTCTATATAACTGTTGATCAATTTTTAAAGACGTTGGCGTTGTCCTAATTTTCACATTTCAAAAAAATTCAAATGAAATCCTTGAAATATAGAGTTGCTATGGAAATAAGCAGAAAAAATTAAAAAATAAAACGCTGAAAATTTATTTTGTTTCCTTGGATACGTACCCTTATGTGTACATTCCCAAAGCTTTTAAGAATACTAGTTATGAACAATTTACCTGACTTTAAATTTTTTCTACCACACAAACTCTGACTGGATGCCAGAAGCTGGCATATGGGGTTGAATATTGCTATAAATTAGACAAAATCGATCATTTTCCCTTCTTGGTAACCATAGTAACAGTGTTATTTTCTTCATCAAACTTTACCAATACATGACATTCAACTCAAGTTCTATCAGATAAGTACTATTCCTGTTGAGTCAAATAATATTTTTCTTCATTAAAAGGAAACTAAATTTCTTAAGCAACAAAAAATATCACTTTAAATCACTTGTACGTGATTTTATTAATTTTTATTATGTTATCTGTGTGACACGGCCCTAGCGATGTACATTTGCCAGTCTTGAATTTCAATTTTTTCCTATGGATAGAAGCATTATTCAACAAAACTAAGCAACAAATTTTGTATTGTTACATTGGATAAAAATTATTTTAAGAAAAATATCGCCAATACCTAATTGCTTAAGGTCAAATATTATTGTTTTCTTGAGTTGTTAATCAAGTCTGATCATGTTACACCTATCATTAGTGAATATTCAGCATTTTTACTGTATTTAAAATGTATTCCAATTGTACCCATGGTAACCACTTACTTAGAGATAAATTCTAAATTATTTCTTTATAGCATAAATGGCAACAAATTGCCATGTTTTTGTGAGAATGGTTCGTTTGAATTTCTAACTATAATTAAGGCTTAAAAAAAGATTCAAATTACCTGAAAGTCTCCATTTTTCAAACTTTTCTGGACGTTACCATGGCAACCAAGACACACAGCAACCAAATTTTATTTAATATATGTTTCTTGTGTTAAGTTGTAACAATGGGCAAAGTTTCATCAAAATCGGTGACCATGCGTGGCAAAAAAGTTTAAGTGGTTACAGAGAATAGCTCTTAACAACTTTATAAGTGCATTATGTAAGTGTTAGACAAAACTTTCATTTACACCTGGAAGGACATGTTTGATCTCGAATTTTCCTTTCAATAACTCCTAAAGAAAGAGAATAACAGTCAATTAGTTATTTTAGAAGAAATCTTGATGCTTGTTTTTATTGGGTTTTTTTCCAGCTATAACGATCAAAATAAGTCTAGGTGTACGCTTCCTAACAACGGAGACGATGGTGGACAGCAAGTACGAGGGGAAAGTGGTAGGATTGATGGGGAATTTTGACGGAAATGCAACCAACGATTTTGTTCTTCCAGATGGAACCACACTATACGGTAGTGATGTCGACACAGAGCGAAAAATATACGAGAACTTTGGACAACTCTGTAAGATAATCTCATTCTCTCTCTCACACACAAATCTGCTCAAGTAGCTACAACCCTTTTTGAAAGATACATGTACATGTAATATTGGAAAAAGCATGTTAGGAATGTACGAACTGGTAGAGAGCCATTTAAAAAGGCTACTCCTTTACATGTATCTAATTTCTGATGTGATTGTATTTAAGAAATCACTGTCTATTAAGTACATGTAGAGTACGCCAGGGCATCAACGATAGTTGGAAACATGGGATAATTTGCATAACGGGCTTCGTTTCCAACTATCGTTGATGTCCCTGGCATACTCTACTAGCTAGACAGTGATTCCATATATTTCCATTTCATTGTGAAATAAAATTGTAAATTTAGATTTTAAAAATGTAGACTAATAGGTTTATTTTAAATTACACGAGGCCACAGATGTCAATTTCAATAGTCCCCGCCCACTGACGTCAAACACAAAGACAACCGCCGCACGAGAATTACATGCATATATTAGACCTCCTTAGCGTCTGACACAAAGACAGCCGCACGAGAATTAAATGCATATTAGGCCTTCTTAGCTCCTGACCTTTCGCTTGGTGAAATTTGCATACCGGTTGAATGATCAAGAAATCAACTCAACTTACTTTCAAAGAGTTATCGCAGAGAAAACAAATAGAAATGGAAATATATTCAGATCAATAAAAATACAGATTTATTTGAAAGAAGTTGATTCCATTTGTGAATTAATATCATTAAACTTAAATGGACGTTTAAGTTGTTCGAAGGTGTTTGTAACCCAACCCAACCCCCAACCCCCAACCCCCCAGTTTTCAGGTGAATTAAATAAAGCAAGTGCATTACTTCAATTTTGAATGTGATGTTAAACATTGTAAAGGATGACTGCACTTAAGGACATGCGAAATTTGCAACAAAATGAACTTTCAAAAACAAGCATTTTTCTTTTCATTGCAAGAATGGTCAACATCCAACCTACAACTTTATGTAATTACGTTTAATAAAAATGTGCATTTACGAAGTTCGAATCTGTTTTCAAAGGCAGGGGTCATCATAATTTCTTGAATCTCCGTTCGATAATGAGGACGCCCACTTTTTTACTGACTTCATATATAGTCAGCGCATGTTTGTCTATTGTTCTCCTTTTAACAGTAGCTGTATATTTGCATTACTAATGTTGTGTCAAACGGAGATTAATAGACAAACATGCGCTCATGGTTAAAAAGGGAAAAAAACTGCCTCTTCTTACATTCGCTCTCTGTATTGTAACCAAGGGTTGTGACATGTTGAATATTATAATTCACCACGTGATTTCTTACCTCAGTCAAGTAATTTTGTGAATACTAAATTCCGTCACGTGATTTGTAAGGTAGCATGTTTTCTGCCAACTAGGACATTGTGTTCGAACACGTTAAGTCATCTGGCATTGATATAAAATCTGCTTTAATTACATTCATTTGACGTTTTGTTTTGAAACCTTTGTCAGTAGTGTCATACAGATATTGAGAGGAAGATGGAAAATAGTGATCACGTACAAGTGTATTTTTTCAAACGTGTCATTGTTATTTTTCTAGTCTAATCTTAGACCCATTCTTACAATGTTAGTTCCACCTCTCATGCATATCTTATGTTCAATCAAGGGCAGGTAAGTGTAAATTCTCTATATTTTTGAAAGCAGTAAGGACAAAAAACATTAAATCATTTTATTGTATCACAGTCTAAAATCATTTTAAGATTTAAACTTGGTTCCAAATTGACAGTTTTCTTTCATAAACATACAAAAGTGAAATAAGGTTTAGATATAAAAGCAACAGAAGCAAACGAAAAAGACCCAAAAACCGGCGTTAAGTGCAGTCATCCTTTGATTTACTTTTCTTCCCTTGAATGATTCAATTGACTCACAAGGCAATGTATAATTATTCAAAACGCTGGGGAAATGTCAAATAAATAAGTAAAGAATTGTATAAATAAATAAATAGACAACACTCACGGAAAAATTATCTTGCTGCTTCCAAATACGAATTTTCATTACTCGTAAAGATCAGCACCTTTTTCCTCTGTCCCCATGAAATTGATAGACATATTTGCATTAGAAAGACATTTTTCAGCCTTCTTTTTCTTATGTTTTTGATATTGATTTCAAAGGGTTATTTTAACAACTTTGAATTATCATGTACTTAGAAAATGCCATTACTAGATATATTCATACCTTTCCAATATTTAAGGGTCAATAAATTCCTCCACGTCTCTTTTCCATTATGACACTGGACTGTCTCACAGCAATTACTCGCACCCAGATTTCGTGCCATTCTTTATAGACGAGGTAGAAGAAGAAAAAGTCAACGAAGCAAAACAAGTATGTGGTGGCAATAATGCCCCAAAAGCTTGTATTTTTGACTTTCTAGCAACCGGGGATACGTCACTGGCAAAATCCTCAGGGGCAGACGCTGATTCATCTGCAGCCGACTCAGCTTCTTTAGGTACTATTCCAAACAATTTGATAAAAGCATGATAGTTTTATCTAAGAGAAAACTCAGTCCTTTATAAATATGTAGTTACAATTCGTCTCTTTAGAAAATGAGATTCCAAATATAGAAGGGGATACGGAAATTCAGGCATTGGTTAACAAGTCGGTGGAAATAAAGTTTAATGCTTCAGATGATGGTACTTATACTTACGAAGTACTTAAAAAACCTCCAGGCTTTTCTTTCAATAACCTTACTGGCATAGCTACATGGACGCCACAGGACACTAACATAGCAAATATTAGGTAAATGTAACAAATTCTGTTTCATCTATTACATGTACTTTGCACTATTTTTTAGGAAAGCAACGCTATAATTCAAGATTTTTTTTTTGCAGCGTGACTGTGGTTGACAACAAAGGAGAACAAGCTGCTCCAGTAGACGTCGCTGTTATTCTATGTTCCGGTTGCAGTGGTCGGGGAACATGCAACTATAATGATACACTGAGTTCTGCAAGTGAACTGTTTAAATATGCTAAATGCATTTGTGATATAGGATATACAGGTATTTTTTTTTAAATTAATGTGTTTTGTATTTGTGTGCTTCAATGTTTTTACAATCAAAGCTATGCAAAATAAATAAAACCACTATGTTAAATGAAGGGATATATATATATATATATATATATATATATATATATATATATATATATATATATATATATATATATAATATAGCACAGGCCACGAGTTTTCCCCGTCGCACGGTGGAAAACACACCGTGTGAAATGCTCTGTGTTACACCGTGTACAAGGTGTAGCACGGTGTGTGTGGATTTGAAATACACAGGTAGGCACACCGTGCCGCACCATGTCTAGAAAAATCCCAGCTAATGCTCCCCGTGCCGCACCGTGTACGTAATATTACAGAGAAAGTTCGTATAGTTTGATAAAATATTTTGATTTTAATAATAATTGATCACTTTGATTTATACATGCATGTTTAATTATCGCTTTAAAATCTACAAGACATTGTGCAAAGACAATTGCACTAATGATAGTGAGATTAAATATCGGCAGGGTTTGTAAATGAGTGGTCCGGTAGTATATAATTTACCTGAACTGGACCGATTGGTCGTGTTGACAAAATAACTGTTAAACCCCTATTTCAGTATTTCAAATAAATAATTTAAAAGCTTTTAAAGAATTTTTCTAATTTTTCTGACAGTTATCAGCCTTCGCTGTGAAAAAGAAAAAAAAATCCCCGCGTGACACAATCGCCGTTTTTAGCCACCGCTGTAATAGACAAGTCACAGTCAAAAATACTGTCGTTCAGTATCAATATGGTATGAATAGTTACGTATAGTATAGTTTGAAATGAATTGATTAATCTTTATGATAATTATTTTATTTAAGTTTGTTGAATATTCTTTGAGGCTTGAAATACGTATGTCCCGATGAACCCGACTCAATTGGCTAGGACTTATCGAACAGTCTGTCAGTATAGTCACACGCAAAAGACCATTTCTTTATCAGTTTATTAAATATGATCTCAAATGTTGCCTCATCAAAATTCTCAATTATAAGAAGTAAATTTCCAAGTTTGGTATGTGCTAGTGATTTTATGGTCAGGGTTAGTAAACATTATTGGAAGTAGCCCGACTTGTCTACTACTTGTAAAAGTTAATTTCAAACCCAAGATATTTAAATTGTTTACATTTCAATCTATGGTGTGTCTAGAAATTTATATTTTGTAAAAATATTTATTCACTTTTTAGAATTAAAAATTTAGACTGAATTTTTATATGTCCGAATAATTTAATCCCACGTGTTCATGCAACGAAGAAAGACTAATTAAAATATCATCGAGCTCTTTACTTCATTCGTGTTAGAATAAAATCCGAGCTGCATTTGTTTCAAGCATATGTATTCCTGAGTAAAACACATTTATTTTGTTAATCTTATATTATTCTGAATTTAGAAACAAGAATCGACATCAGAAACACGATATCACTGTGTACATTAAATTTATAATTTCCGAGCGTATTTCTCGTACCACAATAAATTCTTTTCATCAACCAGTATTTATGTTTTAAACATCTTCAATGTAAGTATTTAAGTTTTTCTTTAATTGCAAAGTGTGTAAAGAAACAATGTCAGAGAGAGAGAGAGAGAGAGCAACCTCTGTAAAAAAAATTTAATTCTTTGTTTTATTTATATAACCAAAGTAACAGTGCTGTTACAATTAAAATTAACCATTCTATAATAATATTTAATTTCCACAACTTTGTTTAAATTCATATTCAACCCTGTTACAAATAGTGAGCAATCAATTCGTTCTCTATTAGGCATGAATTCCTCGTGCTTGTCAATCAAAATCGCGCGACGCTAGGTGGCCCTGAAAGTCAGTTTACGCGGAAAGAATTTCTCTTGTGATTTGAAACATTCTTATGGTCAGTTCCGAGTTCACACCTGTTTTAATAGTATATTGGGTCACAGCCGGAGGCCGTGGGGTGCTGTGTGTTTATCACACCTTTCAAATTCTTTAGCCCCTGACCACATCAAGTGTATAACACACTCAACTGACTTCCAGCCAAATCAATCGACAGTCACTGTGTTTCATCACAACACAGATTTCAACTTACTTCGTAAATTATCCTTAAGTTTTCAGACACGTTTAAGCATGTATCCCGTACATGCCGTAGATTATGATTTTTTTCCCAACACTTTTTCAGCTGATTCATATCGCTTTCTAGAAGGAAGGGTGGGGGGTGGGGGGGTGGGGGGGTAGCAAACATAATATAGCTTGGTTTGAACATATTTTATTGTACTTTATAATTACAAAGGGATTGTGCACAAGTTCTGAAAACTTATTACGCCCTCTACCGTGTAAATTACATATTTAAATAATAATATAGCTTGAAAGAGGGCAGGAAAATTCTTAGTCATACATTTTTTTTCTCTAAAATCATGATAACATTGACTTTGACTATGAGAGAGAAGCGTTGACCTATACATCTACCCCATTCTATTTTTTTTTTTTTCGCAAACCGTACGACACATTTTTAATAACTAAGACAAATCTCGGAATAGAGTAATATTTCCACAGCAGTTGAATAGCCAAAAATTTAGGCAATTTTTGTATGCAGTGTGTACGTTGATCACTATTTAATTAGATTATCATCTCTATCCATATGTCTGTTCACTAAACATCTAGTAGTACACGTTTACCGCATATCATATTTACCTCCATATTTTACATGATTACAGATTTTCAGTGTTAGTTTAACTGCAATAATCCTTAACTGAAATAATTCGACGAGTAATCATCAGAGAGCAGAGTTAATGTGCGAGTCTGATGCGTTTTTTTAAATTTTATTTTAGATACACATCAATTTTCTAAAAAAAAAAAAAATACGTACAAAATTATTCATTAAATAAATCACGCATCTGATAAGTACTACATATGAATGCATAAATATAATGATTGCAAAAACGATCTTGTAACGAAAATGAGTATTGACTAATATAATTTAAATGAACACGGTTAAAATCGAAAGTGAAGACAACCAGGTAATTAATTTATGAAAGTGTATTTCTTCTTAGCGTTATAAAAGTCTATTGAACATATTTTTTGTCTCATATAATTAGGATTTTGAAACTTGAATATACATATACATTTGAAGAGTTTGTTGTTTGCTGGACACAAGCAAGTGGATATTAAATTTTAGGGCATCTTACTGGTACTGTTTAAACATCTGCGAGTAGGTACTAATATTTATGGAAAAAGTTCAAAAAAATTATTTCAAAAGGAAGTTTATATAATTGCTTAAATAAAGACAATGAATTTCAAAATATTTATTATAAGTTCCGCGTGATCTTCCGTAAAGGGGCACGGTGATGCACCGTGCCCACACCGTGTTACACGGTGCACAGAAACCCCGACTTCAAAGATGCCGACATTGATCAAGGTCCACGCTAAAGCGTGTTCTTTCGGTCCACGGGGCCCCGTGTTTTTCGGGAAAACTCGTGGCCTGTACTATATATATATATATATATATATATATATATATATATATATATATATATATATATATATATATATATATATATATATATCACAGGACAAGATTGTGAGAACGATATAGATGGGTGTGCCCAGTCTCCCTGTGCCCAAGGTAGAAATTGTACAGACTTGACACCTGAGGAGGAGCGTGTACAGGGGAGGGGATACAATTGTTCTGACTGTCCTACTGGTTATTTCTTATCGGACAACAAATGTGAAGGTATCATTTTTAATTCACTCACTCTAACATTTTACTGAAGGACAGTTTATTATAGTTGGTGCACAAACATGATGAGCTGATTCTGTGACATTTTGTTTGTGTGTCCTTGATAAATATTTTGACAGTTTGATCAAAAATGAACTCAAAGCGTTATGCAAAGAATATTTCCATACTTTATTATGATATTCTAGATATAAATGTATGTTTTACAATTCGAAAAAAATGCTTTTCCTAGATTTTAGGAATATTTCATTTCATTCTTTTTCAATTTATGGAAGTCTGAAAAAGAAGAAACGAAACTGTGCTAAAAACATGGACTTATTGGCCCCAACGCTCAATCAAGTTACTATGACCCTGCCTTTTTTCATAAGCTCATTTTTTCCCATATATTCATATCGTCCATTATGCCCCACCCAACCTCCATGGGGTCATAATTTGAACAAGCTCGAATCTATACTAAAATACTGAGGATTCCTCTATACCAATGTGAATATCCATGCCTAATCTGTTCTTGGGAAGTAAATTGAATTTTTTTCCTTGTACATTTCTTTGTAAAACGTTGATCATCCATTGCGGTCCGACCCTACCCCCGTAGGGTCATGATTTGATCAATCTCGAATTTATACTACGCAAGGATCTTTCCATACCAATGAAAAAGCTAAAGATAACAAACAGTGATCGATGTTTGTTTGTTTTTGTTTGTTTATTGTTTAACGTCCATCTCGAGAATTTTCCACTCATATGGAGACGCAATCACTTGCCGGTGGAGAGCTGCAAATTTTGACCTATACTCGGCACTCAGGGCCATGGAGCAGTGAGGGATTTTTTTTTTCGTGCCAGCATCTACTGGCAATGGACCTCCATTTATACGTCTCATCCGAATTAACGACCAATTAATTAGTGTCCAAGTCCCACAGTGGGATTCAAACCCTCGACGTAAGGATCAATCCCTTACTCTGCGACTCTAGAGCGAACGCTCTAACCACTGCGCCACGCGGGGACAAAAAAAAATCTACAAACAATAAAAATCTGTGAACAGGGCACAAAACACGGACCCCTGAAAATCCCAGAGGTGTGATCAGGTGCCTAGGAGGAGTAAGCATCCCCTGTTGGCCGGTCTCACAGGAGGTGAGCTCTATGCTTAATCAGGTAGACCGAACATTCCGAAGACAAAGTGTAAAAATAAAGGCTTAACAATTGGTATGAAGCACGTCAGCCAAAATGCAACACAATTATCGGACACAGAATTTACGAAATTCTTACTTTATACGAGATTGTTGAAAATCCCTGTTAGATACACTAAATAAAATTCTTTTATCACCTCCGATTTAGTGAAAACTGAAGGATGAAAAGTTTGCATATTGCCTCTTAACTTTTTAATGCAGCTTTTTAATATTTTTCTAAAACACGTAATCCATTTTGACAAAGTTTTCAGGTATTCCTCTCATATTTACCCCAACGGCTGGTATAATCATAGAATTCATAATAGAAATGCAATACATTTAGATATCACATAATAGAAATGTGATAAGAAAAGCTCACTTGATATTTCATCTCAGGTGAGCTGAAAACGTGAAATGTCTCCTGAAAATATACATTATTGTGACACTAATATAATGCCTCAATAAAATATCAAAAGTTTAAACAAGTCCAAATGATCAGTCAATATAACCGAATTTTACATGAATAATAAAGCATGTCAAACATCTTTCTAATTTGTTTTTAGTAATTTTCCATTTGCATTCTAAAATTTTCATTGTATTTAATAAATCTTATTTGTATTCAATAATTTTTCACTTGTATTCTATAATTTTTCACATGTATTCTATAATTTTTCATTTGTAATGTATAATTTTTTCATTTGTAATCTATAATTTCCATTTATATTGTATTATTTTCTATTCGTATTGTAAAATTGTTCATTTTTCTTTTCTTTTCTTTTCCATTTGTATTGTATAAATTTTCATTTGTGTTGTAGATTTTTCCATTTGAATTCAATAATTTGCCATTTCTATTTATAACTTGCCATTTGTATTGTATTTTTTTCTATCTCGAATGTTATAAAATGCAAATTGAAAATTATACAACACAAATGAAAAAAAACCCTTTTCAATAGATAGTTTATATATTTAGAAGAGAAATTGAAAATTATAAAATATATATAGAAAATTATAAAATAAAAATAGAAAATTATACAATACGAATGGCAAATTATACAATATATATGGGAATTTTTTAATGGAAAATTATATGATACAGCAAATGAAAAATATCATACAAATGCAAATTTACACAGTCATTCAAATTCAAAATTGTATAATCCAAATGGAAATTATCCAACTTAAAAGGAAAATTAAAGAATACAAATAAAACCAGAAGTCTCTGATGAGACTGTAGCTCTACTGGTCTGTACATATAACAAAGGAAAAGGAGCACATGGATTTGAAACTTTGCAACATGCAGCAATAAATAGAATAATGTATCTTAATGTAGTCTACTTATGCGCCAAGTTATATTGAAATCAGACCAAAACTGTAGGAGGAGTAGCGTTTTAAAGGAACTTCACAGAAATTTCCATTTTAAGTAACTATGGCAACACCGTTCATCGAAATCAAAAACCAATGCACTAAACTATGTATCTTAATGTAGTCTACTTGCGTGCCAAGTTATAATGAAATCAGACCAAAACTGTAGGAGGAGTAGCGTTTTAAAGGAATTTCACAGAATTTTCTATTTTTAGTAACCATCGCAACACGGTTCATCAAAATCAAAAAAACAATGCACTAAATTATGTATCTTAGTGTAGTCTACCTGTGTGCCAAGTTATATTGAAATCAGACCAAAACTGTAGGAGGAGTAGCATTTTAAAAGAATTTCACAGAAATTTCTATTTTTAGTAACCATGGCAACACCGTTCATTGAAATCAAAAACCGATGCACTAAATTATGTATCTTAGTGTAGTCTACTTGTGTGCCAAGTTATATTGAAATCAGACCAAAACTGTAGGAGGAGTAGCGTTTTGAAAAATTGTTTACAGACAGACGGACAGCTAGACAGACAGACAGACGGACGGACGACGGACACCTTACTATCGCATAAGCTCTTCTGGTCTCTGACCAGTAGAGCTAAAAAAAGAAATGGAAAATTATAGAATACGAATACAAATAAAAATTATACATTTATTTACAAAAAGAAAATTAAACAATACAAGTAAAAATTATATATGTACATTACAAATGAAATTCATACAAAACTTATGGATAATCATACAGAACTAATGGAAAATTACACATTACAAATGAACTTTTACAACACAAATAGAAAATATAAAATATTGCTACTTTTGACATGCCATGCTTAAAAATGCGATTAGTTCTAGAAGGAAAGTTTGAATCTCGATGTAAATCCCAATATAGTTATTAATAGAAAGTCTTTCTTCCGACATTAGAAAATTTAGAAAAAAATTCTTTACAAACTGGATTATGTCTCTTTTATGGGGTTTTATTTGATCTTTATTTTTTTCTTTTTTATCATATTAGCTTCATCAATTAAGTTGATGAACAGACGGTGTCCATTTTTCTAATCAAGTCAGAACTCGATTCTAGTTTTTATTTTATGGAAAGAAGAATGAGTGGATTTTAAGCTTTCAAAATAGTCTACAGTGTTTCTGAGGTTGACCCATATTGTATATTATTCCAATATATTTACAGACACTAATGAATGTAATAGTTCAGCAACAAATTCATGCGATAGGGAATAGATTATTAAGGCAGAGCTACTATCCTTCGATTTATATATGGCGACTTCTTTTTTGCTTGCGTTGTCAGGTATTATTCATCGTACATGTATTATACATGTGTAAATTTCCCAAAGTATGACATTCGGTAATAAGACATATATGTATATTTTACTCCTGTTCTTGTTCCTTTATTTACCTTTCAACGGTTCGAAACAGGCTCTGTTTTCTTTTTTTTGAAATGTTTCTGTTTTAATGTACTTGTCAAACATTGAACACTGCATCCTTTACACAGAGGTCGCGTCATCAAGCTAACACTGACCTCTTTCCTTATAAGGAACAAATCACCTAAAAATTATGATTTATATTCATACGCAGCAGTGAACTGCCGGAAGAAAAAGCACCGCTTAATTTCATTAAATGTTGTAAACCAGACAACGATTAACTTACTTTCAATTATTTTAAAGTGTATACTTTGCATTGTTTGTGGTTATTTTTCAAAGAATTAATATTTTGTAGAGTTTTCAATAAGAATTGAGTCGCGTTACGTTTTCATGCAAATATGTGTTACATTGCTATACATGCAGGGCGGATCTAGAATTCACAAACACTTGAAACATGAACAGATTTATATATCTAGTGATAAAAACTACATGTAGTACTACAAAAGAAATTTTCTCGCTAATGATATTCGGTAATTTGAAATACATAACATTGCATACAAAGGTAGGTTTTTCCTCTATGCGGGACAAGCTATCAGATGACGGCGACCGCTATTTTTAGAATGTGTTTTTCCGGTAGATTAGAAATACACTGTATCGAAGTATAGTTCCTTTCCCAACATTCAAAGCGCGATGTTACATGTACACAGGTCAATCTGGGTAGCACGTGAGCTGTGTGTACATCTTGTAGAACAAAGAAATCAGATTTTACCTAGTACTACTCTCAGTATTGTCACAGTTCTTGTCAGTCCACAAGACTATCGTACTTCTGGGCCGTTAAAAGGATGTTTGACATTTAACATTTTCAGATAGTGAGTTTCATAACATTGGTGTTGCATATCTTAGTACATTTACCCTTTGGAGATGATCTAACTTTCAGAATTTCTAAAATATTCTAATATCTAAAATTGTGATCTTAAAACTAGGTAAATCTGAATAAAAACGTCCAGGGAATAGGTCATGTGTAATTGAAAGCATTCAAGACCCATATCGTGCATGCTTTGTTCTTGCAGAGAAGGTGACATCCCGTGGATATTTCCACCCCTGTATATAAACCGATGGAATCAAAATCGAATTTTGGCAAATTAAAAACCATTTTACCGTCATTCAATTACAAATGTAGTGAAATTTTTAATCTTATCTTTTTAGACATAAATGAGTGTGAGGTTGGAGGTATTTGTTCCCAGGACTGTCAGAATTCTGTTGGTTCATTCACTTGTTCATGCTTTGCTGGCTTTACTTTAGACCAAGATAAAACAACCTGTTTAGGTAATATCTTATTCAAAAATTATTTTTTTCTTAAAGTGATTTTTTAGCATGTGCAGAAAGTAATATTTCTAAATTACAGAATGCGAACCTCCTAACTATGGTGTTGATTGTCAACAAACTTGTACATGTGGTAAGGGGATGGACCGCTGTGATCCAGTGACAGGTTGTGTCTGTAAATCTGGCTGGACAGGAAGTAACTGTGATCAAGATGTCAATGAATGTACAGAAAACCCAAACATCTGTGGTAGTGACAAAATTTGTCAAAACTTGGAAGGATCTTACTCGTGTAACTGTCGAACTGGATTGGAAAAAGTCAGTGACAACTGTATTGGTGAGATTAACTAAAATCCATGTGATAAGCTCATGTCATTGTGTACAATGGATGGTGAAACGTGTGATTGTATAGAGTTGAAATATATTATATGAATTATATCACATTCTAAAATCCATATCATATACCGGTATCTTATTAGACCCAGGTTGAAACCTGTGACCGTATAGAATTGAAATATATTATATGAGGAATATCACATACTACAATCAATATCATATATCTTATCAGCCCCAATGGCCCCAATTCAGCACTAGGGCCGAATGCCCCAGGGTCGATACGGGGCCAAAGGGTTGATAGGACATATGATATGGATTTCAGTATGTAGTATTCCATATATATGAAATATATAATATGTCAGTTCCCATTATGATAGTCATATAAGAATGTTTCGATAATGTACCTTTTTTCTCCACTAAAATTGAAATATGGAGATAACGATCAGTAATCAAGCCCAAAAGTCCCATGAAACAATACAAATCGGGTGCAGAGCATACATGGACCTCTAAAAAACGTCAGAGGTAGGGTCAGGTGCCATAGAGTATAAGCATTCCCTGTCGACCGGTCACACCCGCCGTATGCTACTTGTAATGACCGGGCAAACGGAAAAATCCGCAGACAATTCAGTGTTTAAATAATGGCGTAACAATTAGAATAAAAACTTCAGTCAGTATTCGACGTAATAGGTTGTATTTGTTGACAACAGCATTGTACCGACCATAGAACTTGCGAAATAATGACTTTAAACGAGATTGTTGATATCCCTTTTTCATCAACTTGTTTGTCAATAGCTTTCTTCGTTTGAGAAATTGTGCATATGTGGAGCATCTCTTGCGTATCGAATCAAATGGGAGATATGACTGCCATATGCAGGTGATAAGATTATATTGCTACCTAAATAAGAGAAGTTGACGATAGAAAACATATCTTACAAGAAATATCAAATTCTATATATTAATGATTATATTAGGTAGAACATTTGTACCAAAGCAATGCCTTGGTGTCATGAATCAAAATTGAAGCAACGTTTTATTAATATCTCCGTCCAGAATTTGACATCTACCCGGAGTGATTTTAGGTCACCTATAGCTAATTAATATTAATAGGGGGCGAGGTTATCGGCCAGCATCATATCGACATCTTTCTGTCCTTCTCTCTCTCTCTCTCTCTCTCTCTCTCTCTAAATTCGAATATGTTTATCGTATAAGTATCATTACTCACAACAATTACAGCGATGTCAATAAGAAATAAAAAGATTTCTTTAGAAAACATTTTGAGGACACGCAAAATTATAACAACAGATTTAATTTGATGAATTCTGTAAAAGGCAGATGAACTAAACACGCTCTCAGACCTGATTTAGATCAAGGTCGCATTTTAGAATAATTTTTTCACAAGTACACTCACAGTTGGACAGCACTTGATGAATTGTAATATTCAAAAGTCAATCGAGATCGAATCAAGGTTAACACACTCATAAGAATGAACAAGTTTGTTTTTGAACAATTTTTTTTTTTTTGAAAATTAAGTATGAGCACACGTTTGTTGGCTCATCTCCCTTTAATATGAAAAAAATATTTTGTTCAAAATACAAATATAGTTTTCTTCAACACAGCCGACAAACATACGCTTACTGTGTATTAAGACGATAAAAAAGCGTGAGGATGATTATCAATTGATATTCAAGAAATCTTCGAGTCCCATGCTCCGAAATTTATTTTGTTTTCCTTGAAAAGAGTGTTTTACATTCATATATGTATCAAGAATGCACTGTAAAGATTTATATTATGGAAAGAAATAAACAATTTATAAAATTTCATTTAATAGCTTTTTTCAGGATTCTTAAGTCCTCTCATTCTTTTAGGTCATATCAACTTATACTCATAGTTCACTTTCAAAGATGAAATTCTTCAAAATAACAACAGTCTCTTATATTTAACATTCCAATCAACGAATGTTAATTTAATCTAGCCTACCTATACTTGCTTCCTAAACTTCATAAAATCCTTACAATTAAAGATATATTGCCGGGCCCAGGAAATGCTCTACCAAGCTCCCTATCTTTACCCTTCACTAAAATATTAACCATTGTAAAGAAAAACTTCAGACGAACTGTGCTACAGCATGTTCAAGAAGAGGTGTATATCAAATATGGATTCTCAGAAACTCCAAATAACTTTTAGATATTTTAAAGGCAATTTTTTTCTAAAATCAAAAACATGAAAACGTACGATTTTTCTACACTTTATACAACATTCCTCACGATAAATAAAAACCTAAGCTTTTTGATATCATAGACAACTGCTTCTTCAATAATAAAAAAAAACCTGGAAATTTTCATAGCTGATCGCTTATCAACAAAATTACTTTGTTTCTCTGAAGTTGATATTAAATGGATGCTGGAGTTCCTCATTGACAACACATACGTAGTCCTTGAAGACCAGATTTTCCAATAAACTGTTTGAATTCCGACAGAATCTTGTGCCTTATTAGCCGACCTGTTTTTAGATTCCTATGTACCAGAATTTATCTTAAAACTTCTACATGAGAAGATGAAAACACTTGCTGTGGCCTTCAACTCGGCATTCACATATATTGACGACGTTTTATCAATTAACATTTGTTAATTCCATTCATATGCCGACTCGATATGTCCCAGTGAACTTGAAAAAAGACACTACAGAGACTGTCACATCTGTTTCATATTTGGATTTTTACTGGCTATAAACGATAATGGCCAACTAACGAGTGCATTGTCTGACAAACGAGATGCCTTCAGCTTTTCCATCGTCAAATTTACTTATTTAGGCCACACCAATAAAATTTTTTGTTCGTCGGACCCGCGCGCTCGTATTTAAACAAAACTATACAAATAATATTAATTTTAATTTCCTGCACCATGGAAATTATGTGTTTTTTTTTCCTATTCCATTTCCGCTGTATTGTTCGTATTTTAAATCTGCTTACTCTGCAAATCAGAAAAATATAATTGTCCGCTCAAATTTTTTCACACCCCACTTAAAAATTTTACCTACAAAAAAGTAATAATATTATTATGTAGCCGCTTGCCCGCTCGTACTCTTTTCCATCAAATGTCCGACGAACAAGAAATTAAATTGGTGTGGCCTTATATAGTAATTTTCAGCTACCACCTGCAAATGGTGTTATGTCTCCCAATTTATTCGATACTCAAGAACATGGTCTGAGTACGATCTGAGTATGATCAAAAGGAGGCATGCTACTAACAGATAAGTTGATGTTACTGGGATTTTTGTTTAAAGCCAACATTTTGTAAAATATGTTCGTTATAAAGACTATTTTAGCAAAAACATGTATAACCTATCATTGGGTTGTATTTCGACTCACATATTTCATACCAATTGTAAGGCCTTTGTTTTTATACTAAACGTTGACTACGGAATATTCGTCTAACCTGATCAATACAAAGGAATCACAGTGGGTGTGACCGGTCGACAGGGAATGCTTACTCCTCCTAGGCACCTGATCCCACCTCTGGATTTTCCGTTGGTCCGTATTTTATACCCTGTTCAGAGATTTGTAAAGTTTTTTTTTTTGTTTTTATCGAAGATTGTCCGTTATTTTTACCCTTTTTCATTCAAAACAAATAAGTTCAACTGTTTTTACTTGAATTGTATTACATAAATATTTTATACTTTATTAAAACTTTTTTTCCGGTTTGATATGAATTTTTGCTCGCGGTCTGATACGTGATATATATGGATGGTTATCATATTTAACAATTCTAGTTTCTCCACAGATATTGATGAATGTGATAACGCTGCCTCCAATAACTGTTCCACAGCGATGTCTGTCTGTACCAATAACATTGGAGGTTACACATGTACATGCAAATCTGGATTTAATAATAAGAACCCTTACGAATGTGAAGGTGAGTAATATAAATCATTTCTGCACATATGTGCTATGAATTCTTTTTGATTTAAAGGTATTGAATTGTTGTAAGCAGAATGTGTATTTGATAAACCGAGCTCAGCCCACTGGATTGTCGAACATATACTGTATGTGCATTAAATTTTATGATAATATATATCTATCCATTTCATTTAACTATTTTTATGCCCTAGTATCGAAGATTCGGGGGTATATTGTTTTTGCCCTGTCCGTCCGTCTGTCTGTTTGTCCGCAAAAAACTTTAACATTGCTTATAACTTTTGATTGGTTGGAGCTATGGCTTTCATATTTCACATGTGTGTTCCTTGTGACAAGACCTTTCTTTGGGGTACCATCATATTTGACCTTTTGACCTTGACCTTGGAGTTTGACCCAGTTTTACAAAATTTTACCCAACTTTAACCTTGGCCATAACTTCTGAACGGTTGGTGCTAGGGCTTTCATACTTCACATGTGTTATCCTTGTGACGGGACCTTCCTTTGAATATCAACAACTTTGAGCATTTGATCTTGACCTTGGAGTTTGTCCTATTTTTGAAAAAACATTGGCTATAACTTTTGAACAGTTAATGCTAGGGCTTTCATACTACAAGTGTGTAATCCTTGTGACAAGGCCTTCCTTTGGATACCAACAACTTTGACCTTGACCTTGGAGTTTGACCTACTTTTGAAAAAAATTAACATTGGCTATAACTTTTGAATGATTGGTGCTAGGACTTTCATACTTCATATGTGTAATTTTTGTGACAAGACCTTTCTTTGGATACCAACAACTTTGACCCTTTGACCTTTGAACTTTAACCTACGAGTTTGACCTGCTTTTGAAAAACTTTAACATTGGCTATAACTTTTGAACGGTTAATGCTAGGGCTTTCATACTTCACATGTGTAATCCTTGTGACAAGACCTTTCTTTGAATACCAACAACTTTGACTCTTGGACTTCTGACGAACGAGTTTGACCTACTTTTGAAAAACTTTAACATTGACCATATCTTTTGAACGATTGGTGCTAGGGCTTTCATTCTTCACATATGTAATTCTTGTGACAAAACCTTGATTTGGATATCAACAACTTTGACCCTTTGACCTTGACTTGGAGTTTGACCTACTTTTGGTAAACTTTAACCTTGGCCATAACTTTTGAACAGTTCGTGCTTTGGCTTTCATTCTTCACATGTGTAATCCTTGTGACAAACCCTTCCTTTAGATACCAACAACTATAGCCCATTGACCTTGACCTTGGAGTTTGACCTACATTTGAAAAACTTTAACCTTGGCCATATCTTTTAAACGGTTGGTGCTAGGGCTTTCATATTTCACTTGACAAGTGCATTTCTTGTGAGAAGGCCTTTCCTTGGGCGCCATTAATTTTGACCATTTGACCTTCACCTTGATGTTTGACTTACTTTTGAAAAAAAAAAACTTTTACTTTTCTATATCTTTTCAATGATTGCTGGTAGGGCTTTCACATTTCACAAGTATATTCCTCGGTACAAGACCTTACTTTGGGTACCAGCATATTTGATTTGCATTTGAGAAAGTTTAACCTTCGCTATAAGTTGCAATACGGGGGCATCAGTGTTTCACAAACACATCTTGTTTTTTAATCAAACTGCTGGTTTGCAGGTGGAACATGCGAAAGTCTTCCAAAATAATTATTATTGATATAAACGAGAAAAGGCATTAAAAAGACTAAATATCTATATGCGTATCGAGTCTAACCTTTCTATTAGTATGTTGAATTTTTGCAATTCTGGCATCATCTAGCGTCTTCGTAATATTCATTTTTTCAAAGTAGTGGGCATCACGAGTACTCATGATCATTTCTTTGATGATTACTCGCATGCATGACATCCCAAACAAAAACAACTCAACTACTTAAGTTTTTACTGTAGTAAATCAAAGTTAATGTTTACTACAGTTAAAAGAGGCATTAAACAATGTACCAGTATAGTAAATATGGAGACTTCTTTTCTTAAACTGAATAAAAATGTTTCATTTTCTTTAGATTTTGATGAATGCGAAGCTGAAGTCCATGGCTGTACTCAGAATTGTGTGAATGTAGATGGAGGATTTAACTGTGAATGTGAATTTGGTTACACATTGGATGATGATAGAAAAACGTGTATAGAGGGTAAAAAAATCTACAGAAGGATGAATAAATTCATTCTGAATTTTTATTCAAATCTTCTTTTTTCTTTTTAAGCATGTTTTTTTTTTTTTTTTTTTTTTTTTTTTTTTTTTTTTTAAAATCAGTGAGAAACTGTTATATTTCTCATTTCTATTCAACATTTTCATATAATAGTGCAAGACATCTGTTCGCTATTTCCATCTTTGAATTGTACATATGGATGTAAAAAGGACGGGGATAATGGATATTGTTTTTGTCCTGCTGGATTTCTACTAAATAACCAGGACCAAAGATCCTGTATCGGTATGTTTTATGAAACCTAAATTGTATTATTATTTGAAAAAAAAAAAAAAAAACAATATTTCGCTAAGAAATGTCTCCCAGTGAACAAAGCAAATTCATGATCTTATTTATTTTTAAAGTATAACCCTTTTAATACATATTATTATTTTACATTCAATTTAAATTTTAATTTGAGTACTTTATTATGTCTCGGATCATAAACACTGCACATTACCAAACAAAATAAAAAAATAAAAACTGAATTGATTTTTTCATTTAGATGTGGATGAGTGTAATGACAATTCTTTAAATAAGTGCACGTTCAGAGATAAATGTGTCAACATTGACGGTTCCTATACCTGTTCCTGCCCAACAGGGTACAGCTTAGAAAACGATGGAAGAACATGTAAAGGTGAATAATACGATCATTATAAAGTGAGGAAATGAAATATGCTTGGTTAGAAAAGTACATGTATGAGATATATTGTAAAATAATGTAATGCTATCCTTACTCTTTGTAACATATAACCCCTATTTCTACTATTTAATAATTAGCATTTATGGGGACGGCTTAATTCTAGATTGAGCGGGAAGATAAATTGTTCCTTTATCTGCATGATAGTTCAGTATTGCTAAATCCTATGTATATATATTTGTATGAACATATTGTTAAGAAAAATTACTTTCCATCAAATTTAGAATTACTTCTCTTACAGCTGCATCTTAATTATAACTATGTTGCCTTTGATTCTTGATTGCAGAATGTAATGGATTTACTTATGGAGAGAATTGTGCCACACCTTGTAATTGTGGAGTTGGTTCTGCAAGCTGTGACAAAGTAAGAGGTTGTGTATGTTCAGATGGATGGACTGGAGAAAAATGTGACCTTGATAAAAACGAGTGTGCTTCAGTTAATCCTTGTACTGGAATAAATGAAGAATGCAGAAACAGTCCAGGATCATATATGTGTGTTTGTGTCACTGGATACGAAAAGAATACAACCACCCAGACATGTCAAGGTAATTTTCTCGACTTTTTTCAGTATTCATTTCTTACTTTTTACAACAATTCTAATTAAATTTTTCTTATTCTAAATTGGACTACATAAAACTTGAGAACGCCAAGAACATGGCAGAGTGGGCAAGGACAATGAGAAAAAAGATGTGAAAATGTAATGTTATGTTAATTTTGTGAATATTTTAAATACGAAGAATGAAACTACCCTTTCTTGAAATTGTATTGGCTGGGATTTCTATTATATGACTAGTTGTCATGTTCTCTAATTGAATCTAGTCAGATTTAAACATTGTTTGCTTGACTTTATATCCCAAGCCAATTAAATATATGTATGTGTTTTATATTTTGTCTGTTTTCGTCATTTATTTGATTAAATGACATTTTCACTCATACAACGTTGTTTCTTATATTTTATAATATATGCGATTGAGCAAAAAACGAGCTGCGAATTGCCAGTTTTTTATTTGAGTTGTACATAACAAAATTTGTGGATATAAATTCTGTTTTAGATATAGACGAATGTAATACCAGTCCTTGTAGTCAGGAATGTTCGAACACTCCCGGAAGTTACTCCTGTAGCTGTAAGACGGGTTTTAGACTGGTTGGTATATCAAGGTGTGAAGATGTAGACGAATGTTCTTCCCCTGTGAGTCCTTGTGATCAAGTTTGTACTAACATAATAGGAAGCTACAAGTGTTCTTGTAACCCAGGATTCATCCTAGACACCTCAACAAGGACTAAATGTTCTCGTAAGAACACTGCTTATATAACTGCATTTTTTGAAAAAAAATATCCAAATTAAAGCATAAAGTGTAGAGCAGCATGGTCATTGTTTATTATTTCCTTTTGTAGAAAAAACAGTTTGTACAAATACTACATTTAACTGCTCACAGCAATGTGGAGTTAATCCCGATGGTTCTGAGTATTGTTTCTGTAACAAGGGCTTCTCCTTAAATGCAGACAATGTTCGTTGTGTTGGTATGTATCCCGCAGATGCTCTAACGACGATTTTCCATTTTTAAAACATGCAACAATATTTTTAAAAGTTAACAACCTAGAAAAAAATTTGGTAAATGAACATTTCAGTATTTTAATTATATGCTAATATGTCATTATTAATAAACAATTTATTTTCAATAAATATCTGAAAAATATTTTATCTAATTGGAAACAAGGAAACAGATATTGCATTGAATTAATTTTACATAGATATCGACGAATGTTCTCCGAATCCATGCAGTGAAAACTGTACCCAGAATGCCGCAGGTGCCGGATACACGTGTTCCTGTGCTGCAGGAAAGAGACTGGATGTAGACCAGAGAACATGTGTTGGTAGGATAAAATTATTATGCATTGTCTATAAATAAAAATGATTGTTATTTAACCGTTTTGCTAAAAACAAAAAGATAAATGTAACAAGCCATGTTTCTTATGTTATTTGCATTATTGGTTCAAGTGAACAAAAGAATCAACTATGTTTGTTTTATATATTCAGCATCTGTCGTCTAGCACTAAAGCTGTCAATTTTTCATTATTTTGACTTCTTCCCAGAACCAGTGGTATTGATTTCGATATGGATGATACCAAAGTAATTAAGGGATCAAATTTTACATTGGACTATGTTAGAAAAAATGAAAGATATGAAGAGTATCAGGGCACCTTAAATCATTGATATACAAATATTCACAATCTTGTTGATTCAAGTTTTTTTAATTAATTATGGATCCTGGAATAAGGTTGGAGCTACATGTAAAATCAGGGATCAAATCTTTCCTAAGGCCTTCTTTAAAAAAAAGATGGTTTGCCTTCTCCCGGCCGACTGGCTAAAATGGCCGGAATCAAACTTTTTTTAACATCTAGAAAACGACATTTTTTTTTAATTCCTGAATTTTCTCATCCCGTCAATATGCATGTTGAAATTTTCTAGGGAAAAAATTCCACCTACCTACCAGCCCATTTATTTTAACCCTGATTCGGGAGAGGGCAAACAAACATCATTTTAAAGATGGCCTAATGTATTCATATAGGGAAAAATTCAGAAAAACGTTTTTATCATCTTATCCAGAACAACAAGGCCAAAATAGTCATTTTAATATACAGTATCCCCATATAATGTCGTTACATGTGGAGTCATGACTCTTTAAGGATAGATAGGGCGAACATATGGATTAAAAATCTTTCCTGCAAAAATATTGAGAGTAAAAATCGTTTTTAAGAAAGGCAGGGACAAGGTTACTCATATGATCATTGTGACATATAAGCCTCTCGTGTTTCAGACTGTGAAGGTTGGAGGTATGGTCCTGAGTGTGCCTCAAATTGTACATGTGACACCCAGAACACTATATCTTGTGAGAAAGTGTCCGGAAGCTGTGCCTGTAAATCTGGTTGGGAGGGACCCACCTGCCAAAGTGATATAAACGAATGTCAAAATACGACAATTTGTCCTATTAACTCGGAGTGTTTGAACAGTAATGGATCGTATTCTTGTATTTGCAATCCTGGTTATGCGTTTGCCAATGGAAAGTGTGTTGGTATGTAAAATAAAAAATAATCTTATGGTAAACTCGTTTAAAGAGACAATTTCCTTAAGTGAATATACATGTATGCATATTCTCTACACAAGTTTAAAAGGTGTGATTTCATTTGACTCTTATAATTGCCAATACTTTTAACCTGTGTAGGGTGTTCTAGTACCACATATGGACAGGATTGTGCCAATCAATGCACATGTGACATCACTAACTCAAGGTCATGTGACAAACAAAACGGAACTTGTTACTGTAATGATGGATGGACAGGTGTCAATTGTACAGAGGACATCAGAGAATGTGATAACAATCAAAATATATGTGGAGCTAATGCTAATTGTTCTGAGATTCCTGGTTCATATGTGTGTAATTGTAATCCTGGATTTAAAAAGGATGCCAGTGGTGTCTGTGAAGGTAAATTTTTTATACCTTCTTATATTATCTGCTTGAAAAAATGGTAAGTTCAATATATTCCTTAGTGTTTTAATCCTTGATCTTGTTCTTAAAAATATAAATGATAAAATTATCAACTATATTCATTGATTAACTTGAATATGGGATAACAGTGATTGATGTGAATGCCTATTCCAATGATTATGGTTATTCTATGTGTTCTACAACTATATTCCATACAAAAAATATGAAGTTAAATAACGATACATGTACGTTCAGTATATTTATACTGACATTAAGCCCCGTAAAATTGTATTTATCCTTGACTACATGTTTTAACATTTAGTAGTTTGTTCCGTACTAAACATACTTTTCTTGTGAAGTATATGTAGTTATTAATTTGCCGTATAATAAATTTCGTCTTAACGGTACATAGACATTTTTGAAGATTACATTTTACAATGATTGCTTCATAAAAGAAATTTAAAAAAAAATACAAATTGCATCAAAGTTTTTGAACTGGAAGAATGGCCTTTAAAGCACTGATGTTCGAGTAATTGACAGTGTTTTTATACATATACGTTTCATCCCTGTCCTCTTCTAATTATTCCCTTCGGCGCATATAAGTCTATTGGGGCATCTCTCATTAAACTTTTCTCATGTATATTCTAATACATAAAACAAGTTTTCAGTCCGTCATACCTTCGCGTATCATCGTCCTTGTCGAATGGAGCAATAATTGATAAAATGTTAAATAAGTACTTAAATCTTCTTTTCCCTTTGATGAGTTGGTAAGTTATATTTTTAGATGTAAATGAATGTGTAATAGGGACGGACAACTGTGATGCACATGCAAATTGTACCAATTCAATTGGGAGCTTCAGTTGTGCCTGTAATACTGGATTTAGTGGGAACGGTTCTTCTTGTACACGTAAGTGATTATCATATTCCATAATAAAAGAAGTTTTTTGCTTTTAATTAGTATCCTTTATTATAACTTTCTAACTTTTTGGTGAAATTCCTTTAAAATGTAGTCCTACAGTATATTCTGAGATGCATTGATATGACGCACACAGAATGTTCTGAAAACATGCGCATGTATGTGCACTGAAATCTTATTGGCTTATACATGTACTTATGTTGCATCAAATGTGTTCTTATCCTAAAAACACTAAGAAATTTGAAATTCTATAGTGCACAAGTTTGCCAAATATAATGAAAACTCTAAGGAGTTGGCACAAAAAAGGAGTATGAGTGCGTCTTGAGAACATCTGTAAAGGTCTTACAAGATTTATTGATTGTTTGTTTGTTTTGTTGTTTACCTTCTATTCAAGATTTTTTCACTCATACGTCCCATATACCGGTGAAGGGCATCAAATTTAGACATTTACATGTACTCAGCACTCAAAGCCATCGAGCAGTGATGGTTCTTTATCGTGCCAAGTTTAAGGTCTCATCCGAAAGACCAGTGACTTTTACTTCTAATGGCGGGCGCTTGGCGAAGGAACAGTCACTTCATATGTTTACGTCATAGGTTTGACGCGGCGCGGCGAACGAGAATCGAACCCAGGCTACCCGATCACTAAACCAGCGCCCTATCACTAGGCTACTGTTACCGGCTCAAAACGAGTTTCAATTATCATTCATTAAAAAAATTATTTACGAAAATTACGACATTTAATTATATATGTATATAAACATATTAGTTAATTTTTGTATTTGTTAGTTATAAAGCTGTAAGTTATAACATGAATTTTTTTAAAAAAATAAAAACAGTAATATTGTACTTGGGATTTAATGATTGAATTTTCCTTAAATTTTTCTAATATGAAAGAAAAACTATTTGTATAGATACTGAGTTTATAGAGTATACTAGTATCACATTCAAATGTTAGAAGTAGTATCTAGATTTTCACCTTTGTCAAATTAATGCATTGCCATTAAAAAATTATCTATAAGTATATTAGGAAATATGCATGTAACATGCATTGTTCTATAATATCATTGATACATTTTATTAACAATGTAAAGAGGACAATAAAATATTTTGAAATTAAACTTTATATTTTTACTCTAATAAACGTTATAACTTTACACCTAATTTTTTACATTGTACAGCTTTACCAACAACAACAAGTCTAGTTACAACAGAAACAACTGCACAGAGATCTGAAACAACATCCGAGAGCTTAACATCTAGCATACAAAGTACACAAACTAGTCCAGAAATCCCAGAGCCAACAACACGTGGTACTGAAAGAACTTCAGAAAGCTCAGAACCAATAACACATAGTACTAGAAGTACCCCAGGGAGCCCAGCGCAAACAACACAGAGTACCAGAAGCTCTTCAGAAAGCCAATCGCTAACAACACAGAGTACGGGAAGTTCTTCAGAAAGCCCAGCGCCAACAACACAGAGTACAGGAAGCTCTTCAGAAAGCCCAGCGCCAACAACACAGAGTACAGGAAGCTCTTCAGAAAACACAGCACCAACAACACAGAGTACGAGTACTTCAGAAAGCCAAGCGCCCACAACACAGAGTACGGGAAGTTCTTCAGAAAGCCCAGTGCCAACAACAAAGAGTACAGGAAGTTCTTCAGAAAGCCCAGCGCCAACAACACAGAGTACGGGAAGTTCTTCAGAAAGCCCAGCGCCCACAACACAGAGTACGAAAAGCTCTTCAGTAAGCCCAGCACCAACAACACAAAGTACAAGTACAACTGAAAGTCCACAACAATCTACTCCCGAAGTAACGACGCAAGGTATAAATGCTGTATTCAAAACAAACTTATCTGACATTAAACCACTAATAGGTCTCGTGCTCAGTAATATGATTAAGCGAAGTTTGAATTGGTACTGTTTATGAATTGTTAATAATAATTGTCAATAACAATGTCTACATGTATGATGAAATCTGACCTCGCTGCATCCTTTGAGCTCAACAATCAAATATCAATCAAATTACGACATACATGTATAGGATGAAGAAACAAAACTTACACTGTACATGATATCCACAGTTCATTGTTTTTATCCGTATTTAATTTCTTGTCATTTTTGACGTCAGAATTCTCATCCTGGAGAGTAATAGGTTTTTACATCCCATCATAATTATTAACTTATTATTCAATTCTTAAGTTAGTTTTAAATCATTTTCCATTGAAAGTAAAGTTAACTTAACCATGTTAGCACTTAGAAAACAATTCCTCTTCTTTTGTCAAGTCAAATAGTTTTTTCTATCCCCGAGCCTTGGCAAGGGGATGAAAAACACACAGTGAGTTGGATAAAATTAATATCCAACCACAAATCATGGAAGATTCTTTTTATCACATGTTTTTAATAACACATCGATGTTTTACACTGTTTTCATATATGAATCCACACAATTTATTTCATTACTTTAACGCAAAACCCATTGTGACGTCACAGCAGTGGAATATGATAAAAATCCAATGAGTAATATCCACGGGATAAAGGAATAAACATTATATATATATATATATATATATATATATATATATATATATATATATATATATATATATATATATATATATATATATATATATATAATTCAAAAGTACTTAAAAGATGATGTCACACAGTAAAAATTATCACAAAAGCGAAAGAAAATGCACAGTTTTTAAATTTCATTAATTTGTTCAACACAAGCGCTTTCTGGATTTCAGGTGTACATAACATTTGAACTGTTTTGTTTTGCTTGGTAACGTTAAATATGACGTCATGGGTGTCTTTGCAGAGAAGGAATAAATCCATGACGTAATAGTATGTAATGTAACGTAAAAGTTCCGGAAAATTGAATTGGACAAAAAATTATGATTTTCACAGTCTCGGTAATCAAACCATAAACAAATTAATTATACAAAAAAGACATAAACATCTCAATATATTAATGTTTGTTCAGTTTTGGTGAAAATATTTTTATAAAATGGTTCAATTTTACCATTCTCATTACGACTGAATCGCTCTTAAGTTTATAAAAAGGAAAGACACAGTAGTTTCTTTGAGAGTAAATGTTGAAATGCTCACTGCATGGAGTGTTTCTGATGCCGGGATTATTAATTTGCTGGCGATGGACTCGCATGCGGGCGGTTAATTGTGATCCGGTTTGGCCGATGTATTCCTCTCCGCAGTTGTTACAAGTTATGCAATAAGTTATGCAATGAAGAAGGTTTTTGGTTTTGCATGACATATTTTCATTACATAAAAGTTTTACCACGCTTCGCCTCGGTCAATATTGATATTTTTCTGGTGAATAACAAACCATATTCACCACCGAAAGAGTCCATAATTGTTTTATTATATAGTCCGGATTTAAATAAATAAGACATTGAAGGCTGCATGATGATATCACTTTCATTTACGAACTTCTGTCGTGGAAAAATAAAAAAAAATGTCCAGATTACAAGTTAAAGCTTATGTGTTTTCCTTTTGCTGTTTGTAAGACATCGAAATGTTTAGAAAATAATCCTGCGATAGGCTTGGCTACTGTTACACAGCTGGCTCTTGCCGTTGCAACCATTGTTTACAACGTTGTTTGAGATGTTGATTGTGACGTCACAATGCCGCTGCACGCGCACCGACCCTCCGGTGAATACGGCTTCAAAACCAGTGAATATGTAGTGTTATGAACTGTTTGCGTTTGTATAGATTATATAGGGACTATAAATAGACTATATAATAATAGATATTATTGCTAATTTATGAATTGTTACGTCATGAACTGCGTTATTATTCCCATTCACAATTCATTTTTTTTCAAAAAGGGCAATATTCTTCTTCTTTTTTTTGTAAAACGTATCAACCGTTTTTACAAGTCCTGTTTTTGTCCCCGTTTTCTTTGAAACTGGAGGATATTAATTTTGGTCTTCCATCCGTTCGTTTGTCCGTCCGTCCGTCTGTCTAGCTGTCTGTCTGTGTGCCTGTCTATATGTTTGTCTGATTGTGTGTAATAGAAGATATTTTAAGGAGTCTTTGATATTTTGCTTTGAATTGAAACAATTTATTGTGTCACACAATTTAAACATACAACAACTCCCTATGGCCAAAAGAAGACCTCTGCTTTTGAGGTCAAAAGCTCAAAGGTCAAGGTCAGAAATTCATATATTCTGTTCATGTGTAACACTTTCGTTTCCACTTTCAGCTTTTTCAAGTAAATTTTATATCACAACTCCCTGTAGCCTAAAAAAGACTTCAATTGATCTTGAAGTCAATAGGTCAAAGGCCAAGGTATAAATTTATTCATTCTTTTTGTATGTAAAACTTTTGTTTTCGGGTGACACCTTTTTAAGTCTTTGAGCTCTTGCAATGAAATTATATATCACAAATCCTTATGGCCTAAAAAAGACCCCTATTAATTTTGAGGTCAAAAAGTCGAAGGTTAAGGTTAAAAATTTATACATTAAATATTACATTTTCTGGATGATAACTTGAGTTTTCTTATCCCTTCTACAATAAAATTTAATATCATAACTTTCTACGACGTAAAGAAGTCCAATATCGATTTTAAGGTCAAAAGGTCAGAGGCCATGGTAATAAATTCATACTTTCTGTTTGTATGTAACACATTCGTTTCCAGACGAAATCATAGAAACTCTTTGAACTTTTGCAATGAAGTTACATATCACAACTCCATACAGTCTAAAGAAGACTTTTTTTTATCATTTTAAGGTGAAAAGGTAATCGATTCATACATTGAAAATAACATTTTCCAGCTTATAGCTTTAGTTTTTATTTGAGCTTTCTTTGATTAAATTTAATATCACAACTCCCTGTGGCCTAAAGAGGAATGATATTGATTTTGGGATCAAAAAGTCAGAGGTGAAGCTGATACATTGATACATTCCGTCTGTTTGTACCTTTTTTTCCAATCGACATCTTAAAAAGCCCTTGAGATTTTGCAATGAAATTTTTATATCACAGCTCCCCATGGCCTTAAAAAACCATATTGGTTTTGAGATCAAAAGGTCAAGGTCAGAAATACGTATTGTATCTATTGTTTTCAGATAATAATTTCATTTTTCTCTAAGCTTTTGCAGTGAAACCTTTGGTCATGAGTTTTTTTAACTTTTAAAAGACTCGTATTAATTTTAAAGCCAAGAGCTGAAAGGTTAAGCTTGACCTTTTTTTTCTTTCTCCATCTGCAAAATTTTTCCAGTTCTTCCACACTCTCCTTTCTTCCTTACATAGGGGACACAAATTCTCTTAATTAGCTTATTATTAATATGTTGACTCTCAAACGATTTTATTTTAATGTAAAAGGGGAAGATAACGAACAGTGATTAATCTCATAAATCAAATAAAGAAAGGGAATTTTGAATGGTGCAAAAACATGGCCGTGGATCCCTGGAAACACCAGAGGTGGAATCAGGTGACTAGGAGGAGTAAACATACCATGTCAGGGGGAGCAACCTCATGAACCCAATGTATTTCAAAAAGTAGACAAAATACCCAGGAATCAAGTTTATTCTATTCAATTCAGTGACCTAACAAATGGTAACAAAGTCAATAAGCCTCACATTTTCTATCGTGTTTAAAATAGACAATGGGTTACAATTCATTCATGTGTCTATGGACAGGGTCATTTTATGCATAAATTAAACCTTAATTGGATTGTAATTGAAGGATACATGTAAATTTGAATGTAATTTAAAGGTTCACTAGATCAAGCACTTAGAATATGAGAAATAAATGAACGTTGAAATTAATATACAAAGCAAACCTTAGAAATTTGTCATACCTGAAGATTATATTCAAAGAATACCATACTCAGTTTTGTATCGAAGGTCATTAATGTCAAACGTCTTAATATTTACATATATATTTGATATATACATCAAAATTTCTTTCCAGGAAAAATAGAGCCCTATGTTCCAGGTAAAGTTTGAATTAATAAACGATTTTTTCTTTAAAAAAAATAATTATTTCATATTATGAAAACCTTTTTTATTTACTTTAAAAATTGAGGATGTAATTTACACCCATTTTTACAGAGGAGAATGAGGTCAAACTTGGAGTTGTTTTAACTTTTGAAGACAATATAGACTTGAGTGATTATGATACAGTGAAACAAAACATGGGAATAGCAGTGAGTAAAAGTTATAGGAACTAAAATTATGCTCATTAAAGAAATTTTGAGAGCACAAAATGATCATCATTTTGTTATTCTTATAAACTTTTTAGAAAGTTTGCGTCATTTATAGATATTTATTATGCTAATATCCCCCTTATATAACATTATTGCAGCATTATGTATTTTGACCTTTATAGATACAGGTTCGTTACAGGACCACAAATTTAACGATCAATGATATTTCACAGAGACATCATATGTGGTCGACATCTTAAACACGTTCAATTTATACCATTGAGGTTTGAAATAAATTAACCATTCCATGGGATTAAAACTATTTTATGGGAATATTCCTTACAAATCAATCACAAATGGAAATATAATTATATAATAACGTCTCATTTTTAAATAAATACGAGTTGGTTCTTCATGGAATTTACAAAAAAGCCCTTTGATTCGGGTTATATCTCACTACCCATTCGGCAAACCTCGGCTGATTCCGTCACCTTCATCAGATGAGGTACGAATCGGCCGAGGTGGGTCGAATACTCACTACCTTCCCATATATATCCCGATACACTTCTGAAAATGATATCTTATGTCTTAATTATGTACGAAATCCTTTTTTACGATATCTTATTTCTTAATTATTTAAGAAATTATTTTTTCCTTGCAGCTTTCGAATTTCTACAGCAAGAAAATTAAAGGATTTATAAAAGTTATTATCCGATTAATAAGGTGAGGTGTTGGCAATAATTCATAATTTTTTAGACTATATACAATGAATAAAAACCAGCTCCAAGGGACTCGTACGGATAACAAATGAGAGGATCCTTTAACTGGTACATCAACCAATCAAAAGTTTATAAGTGATTACTAGGCCACATAAACAGCAGAAGCTTTACAAATTACTTGTTTAATTTGAGTAATAATTTTATCTTTTTCACAAAAATAGGCGAGGGAGTACAATTGTGGAACACGATATTGTCGCAAATAGAACAGATGATACCGAGCAAGACATTGCTCAGACAGTTATAAGCCTGTCAAAGGGAGAGAATAAAGTAGAGTATAATAATGGAAACCTTTCGACTGACTCGGTAGCGGTGGATGACGGAAGTGGGAATTTTAAAAGTTAGTATTTTATCTAAACAAAACAACTGTTTGTCATATTGCAATCATATTTTGTGACATTGTGCTTTATAAGACATTTGAGAAGTTAGTGGTAGTACTTTTCTTCCTCAATAGTTTACATTAAGGATGACGTTTACTTAGATAAAAAAAAGAAAAGAAAAGAAAAAACACTTGCATGCAGTTTATATTGTCGACTTGTAATGTAGTCTTATTGAACTTTTGCGAGAAGCACTGACTTTTACAGTTGACGGCTTACTTTGACATTTAAACCTACCTTATGTACGGAGGTACGAAATTGATAATAGAGAAGAAAACCTTAATAGTGATTATAGGTATTTTGTTTGGGGCACTTACATCATTAAATGGCATGCAATCAACCAAGGAGATGATGGGAGGCAGAAATACATAGCTTAAATTATTTACAGACCCTAAAACGTGCTACTACACCACTTGTACGGTTCAGTTCGTTTTGTTTTGTGTACGGTACGGTACGCTTTGTGAACGCTACGGTTCGCTTTGTGCACGGTACGGCACGCTTCTTGCACGAAACGGTTCGATTTGTGAACGGTACGCTTTGGTGAACGGTATGTAAATTAAGTGGGCGTAGCCTGGACCTAGTTTATGATTGGCTATTTAATAAAGTCGTTTATTTCTTTATTATAATCTCTTTATTTTATTTAAATGGAAGGACGGTGTCGCAAGCATTTTTAATAAGTTGTTTTTAAGTTAAAGCTGTTATAAATATTTCCTTTTTACAGCTGTATTTTCGTTATTACATTTAACTAGTCCTCTTATTAACTGTGTCTTTTTTAAATTTACTTTCTGTATGAACTACATGTACTTTCAATTTTAAAAGTAAAATAATTTTAGTTGTCTATTTATTATCTTTTTTGTACACCATCGTCTTATGGTTCAATACCATGGAAATAAATCGAACATATCAACAAACACTGTATAACAAGGATGAAAAAAATATTTTGGTTGCGTCGCCATAAAGGCCTTTCTGTATTTTTTTTTAAAGAATAAGCGTACATATTTTTTCTTTTAATTTTCCTTATTGAATACACAATTATTTTTAGAAATATCCACTTATTACAGTTTTAAACAAATGAGTTTGATATTATAAATCCCTCATGCTTTCATTTCGTCAACCATTCTTTTTACGTTTTTGTCGCTGTTGTTCATTAAACAAAGAGTCAGAAAATAAGTTATTATTTTCATTTTTATTTGCGAGGAATTATAATTTCTTTTAACATAGATTCCTTAGGTATTTGGCTCACTAGGAAAAATACATTGAAAAAGTAATCGGTAGAAGTGCACACAATTAGTGCAAAATATTACTTTATTTTTTGTGCGCTTAATTGTTTTCCTTTTTACAAAAATTTTCCATCAATGTGTAAAAACGCTTTCTGAAAGGAGGTTACAATCAAGAATACGGTTAAGACAGCTACAATTCCATCTACAATGTATAAATGTATATAATATATATTGATTGCAAAGACAAATTTCCGACACAAATAATATCTCAAAATGTTAGGAATAAATAGTCCGCTTTCAATTAACCTAGAAAATAAATAATATGCAGCCATGCATGTCCCCAAAAACTTTGAAAATGAATAATTTGCCCATGCCGGGTGCCCCCCACCCCCAGTTGTTTCCTTGTCAAACTCAAACTTTTTTTTTTATTGAAGATCTATAAGAAAAGCTGATTGCACATGAAATTCTGTTTATCTGCTGATTAAAACTGGTTCATTGTTGTAGACTTACTGTTTAAGTCAGCAAACTGTTGATACACGTGTGAATGTAGGTAAATCTGGACTAACGGGATTAGATACGCTTCAATATACACAGCTTAGGCTTTTACATTGTACATGTGCATGTGTGATGACAATACTTGATCGAAATTTTCAAATGTTTTAGAGTAAATAACAAAAGTATAGAAAGACGTCAGTCTAGATAACGAGACCATGGCAAGAAATGTACAGTGTTTCTTAAAAAAAAAACTTGGATGAACACGCATGCACGGACTAAGCTTTTTTTTTTTTTTTAAATCAAATAGATTAAACTGGGCTTTATGTGTGAATTCCAAGTAACACATTTTACCTGCAGGTTTCAGTGAATAAAGCAAATGAAATGGGAAATGCTTTAAATAAAAATTAATTCTGATTTGCTTTTTGATTACGTGTATTAAACTGAAAATTCCATGCGGAAATGTGGCGATCGAACTTTTTGACTATGTTTTATTGGCAATAACATCTTGGGTTGGTCAGAAGAGTGTAAACCAAGACATATTATTTATATATACATCACTTTTATTTATTTTTTTTCTAGTGATTGAGAGGCGTTTACATTTTAACATGTCCGCTTTCAAATTGACAATTTAGTTCGTTTTTTTTTTTAAATTTATATATATATTTTTTTTTTGGGGGGGGGGGTGTTGTTGTTGTTGCTAAATCTGTAAACGTTTCTCCCTAAAACTATTACTTACATGAATAAAAAAATATTTTAAGGGCTTGATTTCTTAAAAAAAGCACAGAATTCTAATACACTAGATGAAATCCCGCGCAAGCGCGGGGAATTGAATTTATACCACTACCGACAGAAAATATATTGTAGTTTCTACTGACAGCCTACAGGGTTATAGCAGGAAGAAATTATACTTTGTTCAAAATCCCGCATGTGCTTCTCTCCCCCCCCCCCCCCCCCCCTTTGTAAAAACTTGAAAAAATAACAATTTCATTAATTGATGTTTATTGTGAAACCTGTTATACTATGTTAATGATGTTATGGATATTGTACTTCAGATGCTCTTATATCATTTCCGTCAAGAATAAAAGCAGCGAATATGCACATCTTACTGATAAACTGATTGGGTTTTTTTTTTGGGGGGGGGGTAAAAATTCACAGGTACTTGGGTCTTGGTTTATGTAAATGTACTTTACTTTTTTTTTTTTTTTACATATCAATAAGGTTCATACATATATATATAAACCAAAACGCAAGTACCTGCGTAAAAATTAGCTTTTAATAGCTTTGAATAGGCCGAGTATTTGATACAAAAGACTGTATTCAGAAAAAAAAAAACTGAAATGTATTGATTAAAGCACAAAATTTTACAGCTTTAATTGTATTTGAACAATGTCTTATTCATTAATTTTCTCTTTTCATGTAAGCAAGTTTATTACGAAGTAGAAATTGTACTTCGGGTTCGTTGCCACGATGCTCTCGGTGAGGCATTTTACCAATAAATTTATTAGGAAAACCTACTACATATATGTAACAGTCTTTCGATATATAAATATTTTCACAACTTATAGTGTTATCAACATTTACCATTATTTCAATGACCATTCACACATAAGCTTTTTTATGTTCGTCTCGTTTTTCTTTTTAACATCGGGCTCGATGCTATATGATGTTCTAGAAGCTTCCGTCAATATTAAGATCGGTGAATGACAAAAATAATTTGCACATTTCCCTTTTTAATCGGTTATCACAACTTATTTCTTTTATGTCTTTTAAATCAAGTTTTGATTGAATAATTCAGTGATGACGTTTCATGAAATAAATAAACGATTGCTTGTTGTCAGTTTAATTGAAAATTGCCAGAAACTTAGATCCGCCAACCGGAAACGCCACCATACTCACGTTTTGCTATTTCATGGCTGTTTATAGAAAATAAAAGTAGACTTTTAATTTAATGTACGATACTTACAATGCGAGTGAAATCTAAATATAGTTTACGGACATCATATTGTATCTAGTGTATTCTTAAAGGAGTAAGTAAAAACTCTGGGGCATCCTTTTCGGAGTTTATTTACAAAATTTATTAATTTATAAGTATAGATTTTTCAATGTGTCTTGGTTTCCGAGAACGTTCATAGAGACAAGAATAGGGTAGGTAAAAGCTAAAGATATAAATGATAATGTATTTAATTCACTTTTATTTATTATAAATTGTACACGAAAATATTACGACGCTGCATTTAATATGAATAAAATGTCAGTCAAGCACAACCCGATCATGCATAGCAAATAAGGAATCACCTCACACTCTGTCGAGTTGTTTTGAAGTCGTTACTAGTTTTGAGTACCGGTAGTTTCCTTATATTAACAGATGTAAGTCCAGATGCATGGCACTTAATATTAATATTTTGAATCTCTAGGGTTATTTTCTGTCCTTCTTTGACGGGCGCTGCGTCGAAAAGAATAAAAAAAAATACTTACTGTATTTGGTCATTGCAAGATTCGGAATGCTTTCGGGGCGTGGCTTGCATAATTATTTCAAAAATTATTCATGAACGGTACGGTTCGCTTCGTGCACGGTACGGTACGCTTCGTGCACGGTACGGTTCGTTTTGTTTACGGTACGGTTCTCTTTGTGCACGGTACGGTACGCTTCTTGCACGGTACGGTACGCTTCTTGCACGGAACGGTACGGTTCGTTTCTGAGGTGTAGTAGCACTTTTTAGGGTGTGTATTTGTGAGAGTTAGTATCTTCTTTCAATCTAATTTTCTGAAGGAATCAAATAAGGAAGAAATTACATTCCGGAAGGAAAACTAAGCAAGAGTTGGTCAGTGTGGGAAGGGAGGGGGTTGATAGTAGGGTGATTGCCGCTCCATTCCTAGACAACGTAATATGTGCTTTGAAATGACCCATTATTATTGTTTAATTAACTGTTAAGCTTAATATTTATATTGCAAAAGAGCTTCCATATATTGTCCTAGTAAGCCGTCGATTGTAAACGTCAGCGCTTCTCATAAAAAGTCCATTGTTCACCTCCAAATATCTAAGTCAGGGACCTTTTTCATGTTAGTGGCATCTGAGTTTTTCTTGGAAAATATCACAATTATTTAAAATATGACCAATTTGATCTTTATTTACAAAATATATCAAGTAATAAAACTCTTAGGATGATGGTATATAATGAAAATGAAATAGTAGAGTTTAAAAATTAGACTCGATAATTATTCCAGTTAAAATTTTCTATGTCGATTTTCTATGTAGATCTCCCATTTTAATGAAATATCACAAAAATCTAGTTGATAGGAACTTTTTTTTTACTATTTATAGCCTCAGTAAACGTCTTTTGCCCTAGTTCTGCTGATATAAATTTATGTAAGATCATTGATTAAATTCTTGAGATATGTTCCCTATAAATGCTTCTAATACGTCCGTGCTTTAAGGGTCTATTATGGTATGGGATCATATCCATCCGTCTATCTGTCTATTTTCTTTTTCGTGTTTCAGCTCATAACATATATACTATGAAGCTTAGAATCTTCAAACTTTGTCAGCTGATGCATCTTGTCTAGCAGGGTGTCGCAGATTTAAGATTAGTCACTGTGACTGGATAGGTCACTGTGACTTTTAATAAATCCATATGGCCTAGCATGACAAAACCTTGTCCGGCTCATAACTATAACATTATTTGGCCTAGAATTTTCCAGCTTTGAAATAATGCATCTTAGGTAGAAAGTGTGTCGCACCCCACATTAAGGTCATTGTAACCTTTAATGAACATGATATGGACAAATATGGCAAAGCATTGTCCGGCTCTTATATGGAAAATGTTTTGGCTTAGAATATTCAGACTTTGATAGATAATGCATCTTAGGTAAACGGTATGTTGCGTCCTACTTTATATATAATGAAGATGAATTTTGAAAAAAAAATGTCTCAAAGGAGCTTATCCCAACTATTGTAAGATTATAAAAAAAAAAGTAACACCAGGAAATGCACATTTTTTAAAAATAATATACAGCAATAAAATAATTTTTTTTAAAAATAATTCTTTTGTCTCTAAAAAAAAAAAGAGCAATGACATTGTACAAGAAATATGCTACGACTTAAGTAGGTCATGAAATAAAATATCACAATTCCATTTGTCCCATGGGTTTGTTGGTGTTCATTTGAACATGCAAAGGGTATTTTGATAAGAGACAAATTGCATATATCACGTAAAATTAATCAATGCGTTTAATGTAAGAAGTTTGTCATTATTATTTATTTAGGAACGTCTCTGATCAAGGAGCTTTTATCTATATCTCTTGAAAATTGGGTAGAAAAATTAAAGATCTGGCCTCTTAGTTGCAATTGTTAGCGTCTGTCAAATTAAGGGGAAGAAGGACCTTTAGCTGAAAAAAATACTTGTCATTCAATTTTTCTTATATTTTGTATATTTCTAATTAAGTATGTCCCACATATCTTAAAGCAGTTATATCATTAGGTTTCTTACCTTATTTTAGAGATATTGATTGATAAATACCACGCCCTACAGTATCTAAGTGGAGTTTTAATTCTCCATGTTTCCGGGCTCATTACTCTGTCCATAATGGGATTTTTTAAAGCATATACAAAAAATATGGAAGTGAACATGTATCTTTTAAAATATTAGAGTATGAATAGGGTTTAAAATTCGAAAAAGCAAGTTTCTACTATTACACTGCATCTGGATAGGAAAATTACGAACTTTTTAAGACAACTTAAACAACAAAAAACGTAATTTACAAAAAATTCTATCATTCAATATTTTTAAATTTACGTTGAAATGCAAGTGCTTCAAATTATCGATTAACTGTAAAAATTTCGAATGGTGAAGCTGACCTCAATATTGCACAGGACATGGTTAAAGACGACATAAGCAGGACAAAAACTTGTCATGTATACATTTTCCGAGTACGGGAAAACCCAACTATGACGTCACACGTAAGCTGAATAAGCGAAATAAGATATACCTACATTAGATTTCCATCATCAGCCATGCAAAAATAATTTTTGTGTTCCCTGTTTCTCAAAATATTTCATCATATACTGATTATGACCTGTTTTTACATAATAATACCGCCCCTGTATTTACTGAGTATGATCTTGCTGTACTAACGGATCGTGTATGACGTCACCGAGTTGTTGGACGCGCAGTTTAGGGAAACAGAGGAATGGATCAATCTTTTTTCTAAATTTTTTAATGTTTACAAGAATGTTAAACTTTTTATTTTATTTATATAAGATGGTAATTAAAGAAAAAAAATGCCAAAAAATTATACAAGAACTGATGCTTTACACGTTTTCCACTTATATAAACGAAGATTATGACGTAGTTTAACAGAGTCATGTGACCATGTGTAACAGAGTCATGTGACCATGTGTCCTTCATCCCCTTAACGAGGTTAGATCCTGATATTTAAAGTCTTAAACTTTTTTTGTAAAGTATATTTTTAGTTTCTACACACATAGCTTAATTAAAAATCAAAACAAAAAATGGGGGTCAATACGCTTCTTTTGGCGCTACAGTACATTTAATATGACCTTTTTGCACTGAAATTTGTGTCTGAATCAAAAATCACATCTTCGACGTTTTCCCTCCAATGTTTTTATCCAAATAAATCAGGAGACAAATTAAACTATTAGTCAATTTAAGAAAAGACACTTCAAAATTGTGACTAAGAAAAAGTTTCAAATTGCTTCACATAATCAATTATTTGACCTTTCTGCACTCAAAAAATGTGATTTTTCTGGTATTAAAAATTTAACAAGCAAGAAAATTATTTTAAAGTCTTAAACTTTTTCTGAATTTAGGCAGATTGATCAAAGTTATCTTATATTTTCAGAAAAGAAAAACAAAAGTGGTCTATGATGTAAATTTTTAGATATTACTAAAAAAGTGTTAATTTTATGTTAAAATTGGCTAAATGTTTTCCTGGACTTTCAGAATATATATTACTATATTTGTCACAATATAATGAAAGAATTCATAAGAAATAATTTAATAGATATTTCAGACCCAGCATAAAACATTTCATTGCAAAAAACAGCTATGTGTGCAACCAGCATGAAAAAATAAGAATCTAAATTTAACATACTGTATATATTTCAAAATAGGACAAAATGATCATTTTCTCCTAAAAATCCTTCCGCCACAAAATATAGTTCCTGGCTTAATCCTCTTTGAATGGAATTTAATCGCAGTTTTTTAATTGGATATTGTTTAATTTGCGTTGTAGAATTCAGATTTAATGTTTGAACTTAAAAATGATGCAGAATTTTATAAATAAAGGTCCAGACCAAAATCTGCTCAAAAGCTCAGGATCGAACCTCCTTAAATTGTTCTAGATTGCCAGTGTTTGTTTTTCAAAATTAATTTTATATAAAGTTATCGAATATAACTTGATATTGCGTAGTAACGCACTTGCATGTAGATGATGATTGCAGAAGTTTTATCAGGGTAATCATGAAGAAAATTATAAGTATTTTGATTTGTTTTATTAGGCAATGAAATTTTCATCTTTAATATACATTATGATGAAAAAAGTTGCAGACTGGGCATTTGTTCACAACCAGTTTAGAAATATTTGAGCTACTATTCATCCTAATTTATACAATGTAAATGCTATAAAGGTGCACTTGAAATTTTTGTACAAGGTTGACATGATTTTGTTTCATCCTTTTTGAAGAAGTAGCTGTCTATGATATTAATAGGCCTAATTTTTTAGGCCCTTTTTATTGTCAATTGATAAAACGTCGATGTATCTACATGTATATCTGAATGTCGAGTTGAATACCACAGCAAATGTTTTCTTCTCATTTAATGGTTTTGATGGTTCTGTTTCATAGGCATATAAGAACAGGTTGGCTAATAAAGAAGCACAATAAGTGCCCATCGAAATTCCAACAGTTTCTTTAAGCTTGGAAGACCTTGTCTCTAAAGACTACATAGATTTTGTTAATGAGGAACTCCAGAATCCTTTTAATATCAACTTCAGAGTACTTGTGTGTTGAATCAGAATGATTTTTAACCAAATATTTTTGTTGGTGACCAATCGCAAGATAAGAAAATTTTCGAGTTCCATCTTTATTGAAGAAGTAGTTGTCTATAATATCACAAAGCCTAATATTTAATTTATCGCGAGGAACGGTTGTATAAAGTGTAGAAAATTCATATGTTTGATAATACTGACTATTGAAAAAAATAGTGATTTCAATTTTTTTTTAAAAAGCTAAGTTCAATCATTTGACATAAAACATAAACAATAACATTTATTTTTTGCAGAATGATATTTAAAAACACATTGAATCTTACCTTTCGGAATATTGTTCTACAAAATGTAAGACTCGGTTCGAATTTTCCGTGCATCACTATAAATTTACCTTTGTTCTAGCATATTTTCTTCAAATAGTAAAACATTAAATTTCCATATTGATATCGCATGTTTTTTTTTTGTTTATGTTCATTTAGAACAATTTCTTATTTAAAGTAATGTACTTTTTCTTAATAGCAATTCGTGTCTGTAAATTAAACCCTGATGATAAACGCCATTCTATATATTTAATTCAATATTCGTATATCCTAAAGATGCAATGGAATCAGACAGTAAGCTTAACATATTTGAATCACCCAAAAGATTGCCAAGACATATCAATTAGATTTGATAATAAATCATTGGCTCTTTGCTTTACCCTTTTTTTTTTTAGATATAACATCATCATCTTCTAGATGTGATATTTATGTTGTAAACAATCCTTGTAAACCTGGGGAACAATGCATTGAGAGTGGAAACAGAGTATACTGTTCGTAAGTAATTTTTTATGCATATACCAAAAATACTTCAATGACTATTTCCTAGTATATACTGTTTATTTCTTTATTCATTCAACAAGATTTTTAAAAAGATTTTCTTACTCTTTTTAAAGCTTTTGTAAGATTATTTTAGTCTTGCGTTTCTGACGTAGATTGTTATATTTTTGTAAAGCGCTTTAGAGTTTATATAAGATAAGGCGCTATATAAATTTTTATTAGGTCTTTCCACCTTTCTGTGGAAAGACCTCTTGAAATGCTTATGTTTATTATTATTATTATTAGGTCTTTCCACCTTTCTGTGGAAAGACCTATTGGTTTTCTTCTGTTTCTTATTATTCTTCTTATTTTTCCGCCGCAAGATTTTGAGTTTCAAGATTTATCGAAAAGATTTATAGTCCATGAGAATAAACTCCGTAAAAGATTTTTGCAGTTGACCCTGCGTATATGAACTTTGACCCCTCAAAGAGTTATTACCCCTTTCGCAATAAAACCTTGTTATCGCTACTCCTTCGAAACTGTAAACCATAGAGGTACGAAACCTCCACCAATGTCTTCGACTAATTGAGGGGACTCTTCAATCTTTTCATTGCGAAAGTATTCGTCAACCCCTTTTATGAGTTATTGCCCCTGAAAGTTTTTGATGTTTACAAATAATTAAACATTTTCAAAATGATAAGTCGTAGAGACATGTGACCAACTGCATAAGATTCATTGACCTTTGACCTTAAAATATATGCAAAGGTCAAAGGTCAAGGTCATTCAATATATGAGAAATGAAGCTCTTTTTATATCTCTTTTGTCTTTCAACATGTACTAAATATCTATGCATCATTAATATGTCCTCTTTAAACTATTTCAAAGATTTCATACTTGTCCCCTAAGATTTACCCCTTTAAAAGTTATTGCCCCCTTTTCTGAAAACCTTGTTATCGCTACTCCACCGAAACCGTAAACCGTAGAGGCACAAAACCTTCACTAATGTCTTCAGGGTCTTTAGACACAACTTCAATCTATTCAGTGCGAAAGTATCCGATGACCCCTTATATGAGTTATCGCCCTTTAACGTCTTTGCGCTTACTAGTAAACCTTATAACTTTAAAGCTAAAAGTCGTAGAAGCATGGGGTTAATTGTAATGTGACCCTTGGCCTTTGACCTTGAATATTTAATCAAGGTCAAAGGTCAAGGTCATTTCATTTTTTTTTTAAATTTTCATTTTTTCCATCTCTCAAGCCATTTATGGTTTCTTTTGTATAAAAATAAAGAGTAGAGAGTTAAATATGAAGAATATATGAAATTTAAAGGTGGAAAGACCTCTAATTGTTCGAGAACAATTAGTCTACTAGTTAGGTCTTTCCACCTTTCTGTGGAAAGACCTCTTGAAATGCTTATGTTTATTATTAGGTCTTTCCACCTTTCTGTGGAAAGACCTCTTGAAATGCTTATGTTTATTATTATTATTATTATTATTATTATTATTATTTTTCTTCCCGGACTTTTGAAACTGCAAGACTTATCGAAAAACTTTATAGGTCATGATACTGGATATTAAAAGTTATTCCAAAAAACGACCCCCCGTGTTTGACCTATGACCTCCTACGAAGTTATTGCCCCTTTTGCAAGAATAGCTTGTTATCGCTACTCCTTCGAAACCATAAACCGTAGAGGAACGGAACCTTCACCAATGTCTTCGACTAATTGAGGGGACTCTTCAGTCTTTTCATTGCGAAAGTATTCGTCAACCCCTTTTATGAGTTATTGCCCCTGAAAGTTTATGAAACTTACGAATAATTAAAAATTTTCAAAACGATAAGTTGTAGAGAGATGGGACCAACTGCATAAGATTCATTGACCTTTGACCTTCAAATATATGCAAAGGTCAAGGTCATTCAAAATATGAGAAATTAAGCTCTTTTTATAGATCTTTTGTCTTTCAACATATCCTAAATATCTTTGCATCATTAATATGTACTCTTAAATCTATTTCAAAGATATCATTCTTGTCCCCTAAGCTTAACCCCTTTGAAAGTTATTGCCCCTTGTGCGAAAAACATTGTTATCGCTACTCCTCTGAAACCGTAGATTGTAGAGACATCAAACCTTCACTAATGTCTTCAGGGTCTTTAGACACAACTTCAATCTATTCAGTGCAAAAGGATCCGATGACCCCTTATATGAGTTATCACCCTTTAACGTCTTTGCGCTTACTATTAAACCTTGTAACTTTAAAACTAAAAGTCGTGGAAGCATGAGACCAATTGCAATGTGATTCATGACCTTTGACCTTCAATATGCGGAAAAGGTTAAAGGTCAAGGTCATTTCAAAATTTTTAAAATTTTCATTTTTTTATCTTTCAAGCCTTTATGGATTCTTTTTGGATAAAAATTAACTTTAGAGAGAAAAATATATAAATTAAAGAAACCTAAAGAAGGTGGAAAGACCTCTAATTGTTCTGTGAACAATCAGTCTACTAGTTATTATTTTTTTTCTTCCCGGACTTTTGAAACCACAAGACTTATCGAAAAACTTTATAGTTCATGATACTGGACATTAAAAGTTATTTCAAAAAACGACCCCCCGTGTTTGACCCATGACCTCTTACGAAGTTATTGCCCCTTTTGCAAGAATAGCCTGTTATCGCTACTCCTTCGAAACCATAAACCGTAGAGGTACAGAACCTTCACCAATGTTTTCGACTACTCGAGAGGACTTTTCAATCTTTTCATTGCGAAACGATTTGTCGAGCCCTTTAATAAATTACTGCCCCTGAGAGTTTTTGATGTTTATGAATAATGACAAAATTCTCTAAACGATAAGTCGTAAAGACATGGGACCAACTGCATTAGATTTTGTGACCTCTGACCTTGAAATTTTTGTGAAGGTCAAAGGTCAAGGTCATTCAAAATATGAGAAAATTAGCTTTTTTTAATATCTCTTTTGTCTTTCAACACATACTGAATATCTTTGCATCTATAGTATGTCCTTCTAAAACTATTTCAAAGAATTCATTCTTGTCCGTCGAGCTTGACCCATTCAAAAGTTGTCACCCCTTTTGCAACAAAACCTTGTTATCGCTACTCCTCCGAAACCGTAAACCGTAGAGATTCCAAACCTTCATCAGTGTCTTCGACTCATTTAGTACTCTCTTCATTCTATCATTGCAAAAGCATTCTTTGGACCCTTGTATGAGTTACTGCCCCTGAAAGTTTACGCTACTTACATTTAATGAACTTATTTTTAAAACGGTGTATCCTAGAGACATGGTACCAACTGCTTCGGCATATTTGACCTTTGACCTTGAAATATAGGTCAAGGTCAAAGGTCAAGGTCATTTAAAAACATAAGAAATCCCTTATATATGTGTAAAATATAGCAATTCACCAAATGACCTTGAACTTTGACCTTGAACTTTGACCTTGACCTTTGACCTTGACATTGGGTCAAATAGAAAAGTTAGGACATGCATCCAGCTCCAGTATCAGGTAAAAATACAGAAAGTAAAGATTTCTTTTTTTTTTTTTTTTTTTTTTTTTGAATGACCTTGACCCTTGACCTTTGACCTTGACTCAAAGGTCACAATAAGGCTTAAGGATGTGGAAGTAGTTACAATTCGTAGTTTAAAAGAGGCATAAAATAAATAATTCACCTCACCCCCCCCCTTTTCTTAAAAAAAAAAAAAAAAAAAATCACATCAACAACAATGTAGAATATTACTCTAGAATTCAAACCAGACCTCGGATCGACACCAAATTTGGTACAAATGTAGTATAGACCTCAGAGAAACTTTCTGTAGAGTTTTACGGTGAGTCTTATAAGTTTATAGAAGTCATGAAGTTTCACGGCAAATACTACAAGTTCTGTTGTGTTTGAAATTTAAGTGCAGGTGAACGAAGAAGTGATCTAAACCTTTTATCGGCTATTTCTTCAGATGTCGTTAGTAGCATTCGATTCTCCTGATATGATACGACATTTTAACACCAAGCATTCTCTCTTTCTCTTACATTTGGAATTTATTTGATTTTTATTTAGAATTAATCAGTTTCCAGAAATAGCGATTTTCGGTATATTAAAAACAATTCTCGCTTTCATTGTCGTGTTTCCCTTCTAAAAATGCATGTTGGGAGTTTAATTTGTGATACACATATTTAATTTAACCCAAAGAAATGCTTGTTTTAATGTTTCATATTTATTTCAGGATATTCAGTCAGAAAGGTTAAAATCCGAACCCGATCTTTTAAGCTTACAAGAAAGCTATTTACAAAAAATTCAACATGCGCTCAATATCGATGAATCGGGCTACAGTCCATTAATACATTTTCCTTAGGGAACAGTGTTAACGTTTTCTCACGCAGCCCGTCCCTTATTATTTTATATACTGCTTGCAAGTTCAGGAACTATTTCCTTTTACGGAACTTCTTTCTTCCCCTACCGATTCCAAAAATACGCTTGCATTTCTTCTATAGTCTTAAACAATTAACTTACGTATGTTATCGGAAAGCGTGGCCGAATGGTTAGCGCACCTGCCTTTCAACCCAAGGGTTTTGAGTTCGATCCCAGCTGGAGGAGCAATTTTTTTTTTTTTTTGTTGTTGTTGTTGCATTTTTTGCATTTTTCTCCTTTTTTTCCAACCCAAATGACACGGAAACACTTAAAAAGGTGGAAAGGCCTCTAATTGTTCTCTGAACAATTAGTCTCCTAGTTATTATTATTTTTCTTCCCGGACTTTTGAAACTGCAAGACTTATCGAAAAACTTTATAGTTCATGATACTGGATATCAAAAGTTATTCCGAAAAACGACCCCCCGTGTTTGACCTATGACCTCTTACGAAGTTATTGCCCCTTTCGCAAGAATAGCTTGTTATCGCTACTCCTTCGAAACCATAAACTGTAGAGGAATGGAACCTTCACCAATGTCTTCGACTAATTGAGGGGACTCTTCAGTCTTTTCATTGCGAAAGTATTCGTCAACCCCTTTTATGAGTTATTGCCCCTGAAAGTTTATGAAACTTACGAATAATTAAAAATTTTCAAAACGATAAGTTGTAGAGAGATGGGACCAACTGCATAAGATTCATTGACCTCTGACCTTAAAATATATGCAAAGGTCAAAGGTCAAGGTAATTCAAAATATGAGAAATTAGGCTCTTTTTATATCTCTTTTGTCTTTCAACATATATTAAATATCTTTGCATCATTAATATGTCCTCTTAAAATTATTTCAAAGATTTCATACTTGTCCCCTGAAATTTACCCCTTTAAAAGTTATTGCCCCTTTTACTGAAAACCTTGTTATTGCTACTCCTCCGAAACCGTAAACCGTAGAGACACAAAACCTTCACTAATGTCTTCAGGGTCTTTAGACACAACTTCAATCTATTTAGTGCGAAAGTATCCGATGACCCCTTATATGAGTTATCGCCCTTTAACGTCTTTGCGCTTACTAGTAAACCTTATAACTTTTAACGTAAAAGTTGTAGAAGCATGGGGTCAAGTGCAATGTGACCCTTGACCTTTGACCTTGAATATTTGTTCAAGGTCAAAGGTCAAGGTCATTTCAAAATTTTTAAAATTCTCATTTTTTCTATCTTTCAAGCCATTTATGGATTCTTTTTGGATAAAAATTATCATTAGAGAGTAAAATATGAAAAATATATCAGATTTAAAGAAGGTGGAAAGACCTCTAATTGTTCGAGAACAATTAGTCTCCTAGTTATTATTGTTATTATTAATAGCATGCTTTAAAAAGTTATTTCTATATATTTTGTTATTCTTGCATATTTGTAGAATGATCTCTGATGATTGTGAGTATTTTATAAATATGTTTATATTTTATAATATGGTTGTACGCACCTTTACTTGAATTGAGGAGATGATTGTGAGATAGATTTAAAAGAATCTTCAAAACACATAAATAGCACTGTCGTTAACTAACTTAAAGTATTTCATTTTATCAAATATGAACCCCCCCCCCCCCCAAAAAAAAAAAAAAAAAACAAAAAAAAAAACATCAATTACATTTATGGATTTAGGCTTTTATAAAAGATTTCATGATTTCACTTTTTTGACAAAGATGACGAATTTAAGCTGATTGTCGGTCTTGGAGTTGGAATACCCCTCTTCTTCACCGCAGTTCTCATCTTCACCATTGTAATAGTTTTCTTAAGAAGACATCGCTATAAAGAAAATTCATTAAGCTCGTCTGATGATAATGATGATTATTTAGAGTAAGTATTCTTTTTTTTTCTTTTTTTTTTTTTGATATGAAAAAAGTGGGAAAAAATACGAACAGTGATCCATTTATAAAAGAAAATACAAACAATACAAATCTTTGAATAAGTATATATATATATATATATATATATATATATATATATATATATATATATATATATATATATATATATATATATATATATATATATATATTAGGGATGTCAACGAGTGCCCGATTAACCGGGTACTGAATCGAACGCCCGAGTATCGAATACCAAAATTGGTACTCGATTACTCGAATGTTTCTTTCTTTTTGTTCATTTTTTAAAGTACATGTATTTATCAAAAACTTCTAAATTAAAAAAAAAACATATTGTCAATATCTAATACAGTAATCAGGAATTAGCATGCCGTCACCTACACCAGTAAATGCTCGTAATTGCCCAGGGCTGTGTATATACTGCAATTACGGTGTACAGCTCTTCTCACCTACATTTATTGTGTTTTTGGATGGTTTCATTGATTTCCTATTCAATGATCATCGTTTAATTATGGTCTATTATTTTAAAATTATTTGTAAGCCTTACTAAGTAAACGGTATCGAAATATATAGAAATTCCGCTACCCAAGTCAAAAGTGAAGAAATATTTAAGAAATAAAGTCTGTGTTTTTGTGAATGTTGCAGAATAACCTCCGAGGTCGAGAAATGTTGTTTGAAAAATTAAATCCGAGGCGTTAGCCGAGGCTTTTATATTTCGAACAACATTTCGAGACCGAGGAGGTTATCCTGCATCAATTGTCTGACGTCATGGCGTCAGACAGTACTTGATTTAGCCAAGGCTTGTTGGTCAAGTCGTTCAATAGAATTCTTGTGATAACTTGATCTTGGAAACTTCATACTATCTTAACTATCAATTGGAGAGCATAAGGAGTAAAGGAAACATGCTAAACACCCAAACAAGCCAGAGCATTGGAGCTGATGTCATTATTATCACATTATACATTATAGGTTACATAACATTTGACCATTCTCCGAATGCATCATTCATGTCTAGCAAAACAGAAGGAATGAAACTGGTCAGGTCAATACTGCCGATTATCTTTATCGGATTAACTAATGGATGTTTATTTTCAATGCACACTAAGCCTCTTTTCCTTTAGCATTTTTATAAATATACACATATTCATAACTTTCAAACGTTTGATTTATTCATAGTAAAAAAAAATCGAAGTGAAGAATAGATGTTGAATATTCCTTTGCTTAAATGCAAAGATGTTAGCTCATTTGTAACACGTTTATTTTTTTTTTAAATAAAACATTTCTTAATTATCAAAATTGTTCATTGATGTTTAGATTTTTATGTATTGTAGTTTTTTCTTTCAAAAGCACTAGATATAATTTTGAACCCATAATCAGGCTCGTTGGAAGAAATTTCAGACATTTTCAATTTATGGTGGGCACTATCAAGAAAAAAATCCTTATATAGCATAAAAAAGTTATCAAAAGCTAATATTTACATGATTTAGGGGACACAAGCATAAAATAGCTATGTATAAATCGGCAAAATTATTGGGGGCACGGTCCCCAACATCCCCCCTTTCCGGTTCCTACAGTACGTCCATGAAAAAAAGAAATTACAATAAATTCAAAATAGAATAAATTCATGTCCACGTTTTATTTTTTGTTGATGCCTCTGAATTGAACTTTTCTTGTTTCTTAGCAAAAGAATTCATTTCATGTTGATTAGACTGAATTATGCTTTTCTTGATTCTTCGCATAAAATAAATTTGCTCAAGTCAGACAAGCTTTTTTAGGAAAGCTAATACTTGTTTTTATTCTACTAACAGCTCAAACATGCGGCTGATCGTTTCTTCTATAGAGAAACGAATTAGGTCATTATGTCGCGATTTTGCTGTTCCATTTAACACCAGAGGGTCAATTTGTTTGATAACTTGCATAAAATGCAGACGATTTGAGCTTTTGTTGGGTTAAATATAACCTTTAATTATTTATAAATTTGTTTGTAACATATACTGGTTAATTTTTGAGAATAAAAAAAAAAAACAAAATCAGTTGTTCGTTTCATTGCTCAACCAGTAAAATCACGGAGTGTAAATGTTGTGGGGAGGTCCGTGGAACAGCCCAACTGAGCTTTAGAAACCGCTGTTTTAGGCAATACACACTTTTTAGACTGCGGAAGACGACACATCGATATGGTATGAATAAGTATCAGATTCTACAGTTAAATATTCATTTCAACTGTACAGGTTTAATATGTGTTTCTGATCTGATATTTTTTATGACGTTCGTGATTTATTGGAGAATAATGTCTGCGGCATTTCTTTGATCTCGGCAATGATTGTAGTAGAATTAGAAATAACTGAAGATTGAAAATGTTGAAAGTCAGCTATGCGGAGTAAAATTAGCGTATACAGAGAAAACCTACAAATCAAATAAATTACGACTAGCGAGCCCGAAAAGATATTCTCTTTTGCTAGTCTAATCATTTATTAACAAAGCTGCTTAACAGATTGTCCTCCTCTTGCGTAAATCAAATTGTCTTCTTAAACATAAACTGTAAACTATTTGTATTATTTGTGTATTAATTCGTGTTTCTGCTTGTTTGTTTTTATTTGATGAAAAAATATAGTTTTCGTTGACCTCGATGTTTATATACAGTCATTCATTATAAATATATTAAAAAAAATTGGAGTTGATCATGGATTAACTAGTCTTAAAAGAATAAACACACTTGTATATACATTTTACCCAGTACCCGGGTACTCGATCAGATGATTGTCTGAGTAACCGATTACATGTATCAAATATTGACCAATTTGACATTATATATATATATATATATATATATATATATATATATATATATATATATATATATATATATATATATATATATATATATACGAGGGGTTATCAAAAAGTTCGTGGACTAGCGTCATAAAATTAAAACCGCTTTACGTACATCAATGAATTTTTACACATTTAGTTAGCATAATCTTTTCTATCTATAGAATAAACCATAAATCCTAATTTTTATTTTTTAATAAATTGTTAGTGTTTATGTAAGAAAAGGTATGTCCAGGCGGCGCAACCTCTAATATGACGTTTTTTTCTACCTGAGTGTAACTGAGAAAAACTAATTTGGCAAAATATCAACGTATTAAGCTAAAATTTTCAACATTTCTTAAACTTTTGTTGTTTTATGTTCCGCATAAATTTTGTAAGCAAAGACTACATATTATTAATTTTATCGCGTCAGTCCACGAACTTTTTGATAACCCCTCGTGTATATATATATATATATATATATATATATATATATATATATATATATATATATATATATATATATATATATATATATATATGTATATATATATATATAATGCAATATGATATATTATAAGTTCATAAATTTATTGAACAAGCATCATTATATTTTTAGCAGAAACATGTTTGGAGGTCAAGGAACATACTTTTCCTCTGGCATTCCAACAAAGATTGACAGTTGGGGTAGACAGAGATCGCCCTACTCACCTCATCACGGGTATCAAACTGCATTTAGAGAAAAGGATGGATTTGATGATGTTACTAGAGGAGGAGTATCGCCTAGTTTGTACCCTTTAAAAAAATAGTCTTAATTTTATATAGAAAATGAAAAACTACATAGGACTAATCATGTGGGTTTTTTTAAATTCAAAATTCATTTATATTTTTTGGCATTATTAATTATCAATATTATTCAAAATTTACGCTATAATGAATTTAAACTCAATGCATTCAAACTATCTCCCGTAAATTTAAAATGAACAACGTGATCTTTGCCAATTTTTTATTTATTATGTTTTTATATAAGGAGATGCTACATGAGAAAGATTGTAAATTGGAATAGGGAGAGCCCTGTTGTATTGAAATTTCCTATTACCTTGTCGACAGTTTTATGGGTCTTCAAAACTGAGACTATCATTCCAAGATTACCTATTTTTCGCTATACCCATTAATTACTTATAAGTATAGTTTATAATGAACCATATCATGAGCTATAGTTTCATAATATATGGCACTGAATTTGTTGTTTTAAAAATTATATATTTTTTTGCTCTAGTTTTGTTTAAATATAAATGAATTCCAGCATGATTGTGTTACTAGCTTAATGAAAGATCGAATCTGACTTCTGATCCTTGTGTGCATTCTTAAAAACAATAATGACCTTCTCATTCTGAAATAGTTTCTACCTTGTTTCTGGCGATTTATAAGAGTTATACCAACAAACCTGCTTCAATGTTTGTAAGGCTTAAAAGCTGTACTGAACGATTTATCATAAATATGTTAATTTTTCACTGCTTTGAACATAATGAACATAAGAGGAACTTTGAAAGTTTTCCTCATTAAAAGTACAGTGGAATTTTTGTCAATAATTTGATATATTTTAGTATAATTAAGTTTCCATTGGAATAAATATCCTTAAGTCAGCGAATTAAGGATAGTAAAAAATTAAGAATCTCCTAGCAATTGTTAATAATCTAACAATCACACTAACCTATTACATGTATTTAAAAATGAAATCACTGTAATGAATATACATATTTAATCTTACTTCGTTTTTTTAACAGTGTATGATGATCCAGTTCAGTCTAATTTCTCATGGGATTTTATGTACCAAGCTTTGCACCCAAACGAGAAAGTGAGTTTCCTGATTTAATTTTGGATTTATACATGGATGATGTTTAATTTACACCTGTTTTGTTTTCCCATAATAATAAGCATTATACAATTTCAAGTGACAAATATTCATCACACAAAAATTCCAATCACAGTTCTGTGGGGTTTATGAATACAAGAACAACTTTCCACGATACGCCTACCTCATTAACACTCATCCACACACACAAGAGCGTTACTTATCCTCTTCAACTTCGTTGTGAGTGAATAGCAATTCCTGCTTTCAAATCTGTGAAGATTCTCTCTGAGATTTGATACAGTCTGCCATCTAATCACGATTTAGTAAAGAAACACTTTGAATAAATTTTATCTTTAGCGTAAATATACAATAAAGTAATTGGACTCCTTTAATTTCAGGAGGAGTTTTCTGTATTCTTAATAAAGGCAAAGGAGAAAAAAAACCAATGTTTTATTGAGAGTTCTTTTAAATTTTTGTGATTAGAAATTTTAATGTTATGCATAAATAGACTAAGATATTGAGTCAAACTTCAGATGGATAAGTAGATGTTTATACCTTGTCTAAATTTTATTCCAGTTTGAAATCAAACGGCCCGAAATTAGAACAAAACCATTAAATACTGAGGTAAGCGAAGATTTCAATTCTTTTAAAACATTATGATTGAAGTTTGTCCAGCAATATATATATATATATATATATATATATATATATATATATATATATATATATATATATATATATATATATATATATATATATATATATATATATATATATATATATATATATATATATATAAAATAATAATAATAATAATAATAATTCTTCCTGGTGTATAAATTCGCCGAAACAACTCCAAACACCTTTTCGTAAAGCATCAATGGATATATACGAATATGACAATAAACTAAGTAATTTTTAAGATTAAGTCCATATCCAAAAAAAAAAATTATAAATAAAAAAGTAGGGGGATTTGTTTATTGAATGATCTTTTTAAGGGGGGGATTGGAGAAAATATGTTATCACAGTAAGAGATGCAATACGAATTCCCATTATTCCCTACCTTGCCAGTGAGTTGCTTGAAATTTACTGAGTTTTTACCAAGTAAAGTTTATGGTTAAACTTTGCAATTGCAGGCGTTCTAGTACAAATTACGGGGATGTTCATAGAAAAGGGTCGACAATTGATTATTTATTAATTGTTTAAATTCAATTTTGATTAATGTCTTGAAATAAGAAGTCATTTACATTTGTAATTTGAATCGCGTCTATTTAAAAAAGATCACGACATTTAATGATAAGATTAGGATAACTTTAAACAGTGATCGATCTCGTTATAATAAAAATGTACAAAAAATAAACAAATTTGTGAACAAGGCATAAAACACATACCGCTGAAAATTTTAGAGGTAGGATCAGGTGCATAGGAAGAGTACGCATTCCCTGCTGACCGGTCACACCCGCCTTGAACTCTATGTAATGATCAGGTAGATGGAACATTTCGTAGTCAAATTAAGTACACAAATAAAGGCCTACCGATTGGTATGAAACACATCGGCCTAAGTACATGATTTATATTTGATACCAAAGTCATAATAACGACTATAGACTTAAAGAAATGCTGACATTAAACGTGGTTGTTGAAATCCCTGTAACATCAATTTATCTGTCAGTAGCCTGTTTTGGATTAAAAATTGATCGTACTCAGGGCATGCTCTTGAGAGACGTAAGCACCATATGCAGATGATAGCAGAATATTACAAGGAAAGGTGACTATGGAAAAGCTGAAGTCATCTTGTTTGTCATTAAATTTAGTTGTTAGCTTGCCCCTATCGTCTATAGTCAGATTGATTGATTGATTGTATGTTGTTTTACGTCTCATTCGAGAATTTTTCACTCATATAGAGACGTCATCATATACCTGTGAAGGGTTTCCACATTTGGACCTTTACTCGGCACTTGGGGTTATTGAGCAGTGAGGATTCTTTATCGTGACAACGCCTACCGTGACATGGGGCCTCGGTTTTTAAGGTCTCATCCGAAGGAAACTTACACTTCAAAGTGTCGAGCGCTTAGCGAAGGAACATTTGCTCCCTATTTTTGTATCGACTTAGGTCGGACAGCTGCTGCCGAGGTTCGAATCCACGACTTTCTGATCAAGGGGCGAGCGCTCTACCGACTGAGTTACCGTAACGGTGTCTATAGTCAGAAAAGCATTCAAATATGAAAGAGATTTGGTAGACTCTGGTATGTCTTTTATTTTAAGTTCACTGGGATATATCAAGTCGACATATGAATGGAAATAGCTGTTGTTAATTGATAAAACGTCGTCGATATATCTGAATTTCGAGTTGAAGGCCAGAGCAGGTGTTTTATCCTCATGTTGAAGTTTTTTAAATAAATTCTGCGATATAGATGTTTTAATTAATGGTTATTAAAAATGGTATTTAAAAAATCTTATCCAAACTTTTGAATGATAAAAATATTAAACAACACTTATCTTCTTTTCACAGTGACATTGTAAACAGTGTGATATTCATGTATGTGCTGTGCGTTTTCAACGACGTTACAAGCTGCCATAGACTGTCAAATGTATATAATGTGCAATAATCAAAATGTATAAAATGAGCAATTATCATTTAATCCTTATATAGACTATATATATATTGTTTACTTCAGTGATTCTTTATATTTGGGAAAATTCCGCAGCGGAAATAAATATAAGATCTATAAAGGGATATATCTTTTATTATGACCTTTGTTAAGTGGTACATACAATTGATTATCATCTGTTTAACCTATATAGAAATCTTGTAAACCTTCCGAGACATTGAGAGTTGACTTAGGTACGAGTAGAAAATTGTTAGAAAGGTTGTATGTTATGTGAAGATTTGGTTAAATAGGGTTTGGTATAACAGCGATTTAGAAATGCCAATATAACAAATGTAAAAAGTTTTAACAAAATATAATGTAATTGGTATCCATAATTTTTCAATCGTGCAAGTATTTCGAATCAAGTTGGTTTTCTTATCGTTGTTATGTTTTGTAATGTTTTATTTATCCAATTAAAATCTTTAAAATTTTACAGAAACAACTGTTAATTGTACGATACAGTATATTTATATGTAGAGAGATTCACCAATATGGAAAAATTGCAGGTTCACAAAATTGTATTAATCCTCAGCTGGACAATTGTATATTATTAACTATAAATAGTGTATTTTTGTCAAGAAAAAAATCATATATTTGCCCTTTGGCACTGTCTTGTTGGAACTACGTAGAAAACTAGTGAAAAAGGACAAGGGTAGCATTTTCAATTGTTCACAATGTTAATTTGAGTTAACTTCAGAATTTAAATGATATTTAAAATACTCCAATGCAGATTGCTTTGAATTTTTAATTTTTTTTAACCTATCAAAACAGAAGTTTTCCTACTAGTAAAAAAAAACCTACCGTATAAGCAGACATTTTAGCGAGGATTCAATTTTGGCATTTTTTGCGAGGGTGTGGAGATCGCTAAAATTAAATATCGCTAACAATTTATTCCGCATTAGAGGTAACCGTTATATTTCTGTGCACCATAAAATCGCTAAAATTATTTCTCGCTAAAATTACTGATATTTTTAGTAAAAATCACTTAATTTATCGTCTCACTAAAATTTCCACTTATATGGTATATTTTGAACATGAAAATAGATTACTATAAATCTCCCAAACCTGTCTTTTTAATCTACAAATATATTTGAAAAGTTTATCTACAAATATATTTGAAAAGTTTATCTCAATTTTACTTGTAGGACATTTATACGATGTATGGTTCTTTCGAGTTATTTTTCTTGGCTCACTAGACATAATTATCATATTATCTTTATTGAAAATTTGTGATAGGAGTAGATATTCATAGTTGCACGAAAAAAATCTCTTACCATTGTTTTTACTAGAATTTGGATATATATAATCAATGAATATGCGTACAGTAGTGTTTAGAAATGTGTTTCATTATATATATATTAACTATTTGGGGTACATTGATAATAAAGGATTTGATTTTGAAAATTTTCTGTTGTTTTTAAAAGGAAATAAAAAAGCTTCAGAAATATTTTCTTGAACAAAGTGTATGAACGATATTTTGATTAATTTGTTAAATATCCAATATTATCACATTTTCAAAGTTGAAATACTATAATTCTGAATTGAATAAAACGGATATTTTGGTCAATGTAAAGGAGTATCAAAGTAATGTTCTCTCAAAGTCTGAAAGAATATCAAAGTGCTGCAAAATCCTCGATTTTCCTTTCCATTCATAATGATTGTTGTTAAAAATATACCTTACCTGTTAAGTAATATAGAGGGTGAATAACTATAGATAAACTATCCTGACAGAGACAGAATCTCTCAACGTTTTCTCCAAACATGTTTTTGAAATCTGTGTTTACAATCTCTCAATCTCACAATCGCTTAGCTATGACGTTTCACCCTTGCAACAAGAAGTCTCGAACTATGACAATACATTACGAAAAGAAGGAGGTGTAAAGGAAAATTGAAGAATATGTAAAAGAGAATATTCATTATCTTGTAGCCTAATAAGGAATTTATTTCATTTGTGATTTTTTTTAAACGAACCGTGTCCCTCACATGAAATAAATTCCATATCCAGCAACAAAAGATTGGATATCCGTTATTTGTTATATCTTCAATGGTGTAATATGTAATTTATTGATTGAAAAAAAAAATGTATAAAAATTACATATTGAATGAAAATGATATTTTGTTACAATTTGTAGGAATATTAAAATGATATTCTGTCACTGTGTGAAAGAATATCACAAGTGCGACAAAACTCTCGATTGTCCTTCCCTTCAAGATGAGTGTTGTTAAAAATACTCCCTGACCCCGTAAATGATATAGAGGATGAATAATTATAGATAAACTGTCCTGACAGAAACGGAATCTCTCAAAGTTTTCTCCAAACATGTTATTGAAATCTATGTTTACAATGCTTTGAATCTCACAATCGCTTAGCTATGACGTCTCACCCGTGCAACCAGAAGTCTCGAACTATGACACTATATTACGAAAAGAAGGGGTATAAAGGAAAACTCAAGAACTTGTAACAGGGAGAAAATTCAATATTTTGTAGTTAAATAAGGAGTTAATTTCATTTGTGAGAAAGTTTCTTTTATATAAACCCTGTCCCTTTTATGAAATAAATTCCATATATTTGATATCCACTATATTTGCTTTCAGTAGACATAGAACATGGAGACATATATCCTTAGCCTATCGATATACTTATGCCATCAATAAAAAAAAGATATATTTGCATCCAACTTTCTTTCAACTCGCCATTTAAACCATTTAAACTTTACTTAAAGTCACATTTAAGAATTGAAATTATAACTAATTTATATTTTAAAAATCTTTAAAGTGTCTCCTTAAATTACGAAATAAAATTGCCCTGTAAAATGCAGAATAGTTCACAAAAGTTAACGACGGTGATTCAACGTTTTAAAATGTTTTAAAATGTTTATGTTGTTAATCTTCAAAAAGTTCTTCGGTGAAGTGTTAAAGTAAATTAAAGTTCCATAGTAAAGTATAATGTATCAATATCACGTATGAGAGTATAAAGTTGTTTAAGCGTAAATTAAAGTAGACTACATGAATTTTGTTAGGTAACTCTTGTTGCAACTTGAATTAAAAAAAAAACAGTTTTAAAACTTAAAACCAAATTTTCACAAAGGCTTGCAATAAAATACATCAACAACTTATAACACTAGGAACGCTGAAAAAGAGATAAATCACTTTATTGTTATTTGATATTCTGAAATAAAAATAAAAGTAGTAGATGTTACTTTAAATCACTACACAAACGGAAATGTTTAATCATTTGAGGTGAAATCAACTAATCCACAATTCTCTATACATTTTAATTAATCGGTAACTCCTTTTTGGGGTTTTTATTTCGAGGTCATCGACTGAAATATTAAGAAAATTTAGCCCACCTGAGTTATAGGCTCATATGGTTTATTTGAGCGCCCTTTTTCAGCGTCCTTTGGTCTGTTTATAAGTATAATTGTCTGTTCCTTTGTCTGTCTATACATCTATATATTTTTTTCAATTTTTAAATTTCTCAAGAAAAAATGGACTACTGGTATTTAAGAAGGTTGGTACAAAACATGTTTATTGTCCTGTTCACCGGTCGTATTATTTAAAGGATTCATCATTGTAACTTATTTTCACCTTTTACACTTACAATAGCTTCAAATCATAGCCTCGGATATCACAGTTAACATATAATACATATAATTTTTTTTTGAAAATCTGTTTAAAAACAAATCAAACCTGTCTGATTCCTAACATCATTATGCAGATTATGAATGGTTCAAATCTTGTTCCCGAGGATAGAAAGACTCAATTTGGAATATAAAAAAATATTTATGAGGATTTTTAGGAATTTGTTTATCTACCCTCTCAAGAAAAGGAAGTACGTGATCAGTCATTAATATGCAAATATTTACAGGTGTGCAGATCCATATTTTTTTTTTCCAATCAATGTCAAGGGTTAAGGGTCTGGGCACGATAAGATATAACATTTTACATGTACATGAATATTTACATTTCCAGCTGCTTCCTCTATGATAAACACTTTGAAAGTCCAGTTTGTTGATTTTTTGATAATTCCTTTGATAATTAATAAAAGAAATAAACAATAATTAAATTAGTTTCCATATTTTTCCGAACTACTTTTAATAGTAAAAGTTGAGGTCAGTTGGCGGGGTTATGGAAATTGATATTTATTAATTTTCGAATAATACATTGTATATAGATTTTTATCTCACATATAAGTGCAAATATAAGGAATCGCTGTCTAGCTTGTGGGGAATGCCAGGAACATCAACGATAGTTGGAAACGGGCTTCGCCTGTTATGCAAATTATCCTACTTTTCCAACTATCGTTGATGTCCTGGCATTCCTAACATACTAGACAGCGATTCCATAGGAATATGTACTGGGAAAGCATAGATTTCAGGAAACGCAAAAGAATTATTAATTTGCAATTGTGTGAATTATTTCTTTTTAAGTATTTTTTTTTCTAATGTATTCTTTTCCTAAGGTAAGGCAAACTGGGAATTTGGGAATTAAATTTCAGTTAAAAATTGCATACATGAAAAGGAATTTCCTTTAGAAAAAGCCCATTTAAGTGATTTTGATATTGAATCATACTTAGGTTTGATCCCTTTGGGTTGAGTTAGGGTGGTGTCAGTATTAAGTTAAATTTGTCCTGGAACCTGAAAGGTAACAGACATGTACCTCTAAAAAAATCTTAAAAGCAGCTGGGTCAAGCTTACTCTGGTGAACATTGTGGCCCATGGGCATCTTATTCATGACATGTAAGTTAATGTCATCTATAAAAAAAATGACTGAGTTGTTTTACTTTCTTTACCATATCATTTTCGACACATTTTTTAAGATAAAAATCAGACGTTTTGCTTTCATTATATAACTCAAGAAGAACATATGCTGACTCTTCAATATGTTATTATAAAACGAAAGTAGGATTATTCAAAATTTAAGTACATTTGTTCTTACAAAGGGTGCATTCAAATTCATCAAGTGTAAAGGCCAAGGCGTTTTTTTTTAATTGAAATAATTCGAAATAATAGTAATGCATTCTTTTGGTTTGGTTATGATTCGAATAAAAATATTCTTCAAAATTCCTCCAAGAAATTTTAGTGAAGCAGCGGTGCATTTTAAGAATAATTAATTAGCAAATACACGTAAAGCGACTCGGAAAGGAGCATTCTTTTTTATTTTGCACAGACCAGTATACAAATGATACTAAAATAAATCCTCTCAATAATCTTTGCTACAAGGTAACTTTTATGCAACTAGGGACTACCTCTAATCTATTCTAAAGCACCCTTTAAACCAACTTCAAGAATAATAGGTTATCTGTTATCTAAAATTACTATCTTGCACAATAAGACTGATAGGGAGAATGCTATAGCTATAAAGCATGTTGAATCGTTCTTCTATCCCTGCCTGAATATTCGTAACATTTACCAACCGTTGTTCAAATGATAAAGTTCTCCTTAGTATGAAACTATCTCAAGGCTATATATGAGTACTTAGTAAGTGCATATTGGTTTTTGAAATGCATAAGCATATATCATCATTAAAAGGAGGAGGTATTTCAAAATATCCTTCATAATTATTTGTCCAGTCCCTCCCCCCAAAATAGAATGGGTTCATTTTTCCAAAAGCCCAATGGCACAGCAGATTCCAAATTCAAAAATACTATAAAAGGAATGCATTGTTAGTAGGAATTCTTTCTTGTTCGCCCGTCTCCAGTTATTGAATATTTTCTTTTATTTCCGTTTTGATATAAATGGATAAAACTGTTGAAGGGGAAAAAATAAAGGATAGTGCACTGAGTGTTCTCAAGTTATACGATCGTGACAACCTTTCCAAACCATGCCGATTGTCAAACGAACCAGCAAGTATTCACGTCAATGAGAATTCTATTGTATGCTAAAGAATGTGTGGTTTGCAAAGCGGATTGGTCTAATGTTCAAATGATGATACAAAGAGGATTGACAGCGAAAGCACCAGATAATCTAGAAATTCAATAAACTGCAGTATTCATTCTTCATTTCTAAGGAATAGAACTGAAAGCAAAAATGATACACTGAAGAAATAAAACCCTTATTTTGAT